TTGTGTAAACATAACCCCCAAGACGGATCGTGTTAGCATGAATTTAACTTAAAAATTGTTCATTTATCGTTGTTTTGTGTACCGTAGCTATAATTTGTTTTTAGCGAATTTCCCATATAGGGAATAAGCTATTACCGTAGGTCTCATGGTAAGACCTAGACCCGGGACCGATTTACTTTTTCGTTTTGAGGTCCCCAGAGGCCAAAAACACCATCCGTTCAAATTCATATATATATATATATATATATTTATATATATATATATATTTATATATATATATATATATATATTTATATATGTGTCCGTTAGCGCGATAACTCGAGCAAAATTGATCCGATTTTGATGAAATTTGGTACAAACGTGTAAACCTACATTTATTCGAACGAGTTCGCGAACCAGCATAATCGGACCATGGTATCAGGGGTTTATAGGGGGTTTTATGGGGTAAAAATGGGTTTTTCTCATTTTTGACACTAAAAACTTTAAATTTCTAAATTTCTCTCTAGACCATTTTGAAGAGCTTAAAAAAACAAACAATTTAGTATTTTGAAGTGTTATTAAATGTTCATTGACTACGGAGAAAATTAAAAAAAATTGTAAATTTAAAATTCCCATGTTATTCTTATGGAGAATAAATAAACTGTTATATTTTGCTTGTTTATGGATATATTTTAATCAAATTTGGCAATTTGGTTTATTTCATACCAAGCTATCAATATATCAATTGAAAAAACACACCTCAACATCTTCCCCGTAGCAGCAAACCTATCTAGTCACTAAAATTAATGTTATTTAAATAGGAAATAAATCTGAAAATTCATAGGGAATATTTTAGTAGAAATCAAGCCGGGTGAATGGAAATTCGCTTAGTATGCAGGTTTGCTGCGACGGGGGTATTTGATGTTCTTTTCTTTTAAATTCCTCCGACGCGACGACAACGAAACATAGACAGGAGGCGTAATCGTGATAACGTCCGCAGCTACAGAACAGTGGCGCGTAATAGACTCAACTCATCACAGTCAGCACCTGACCCTGGACAATCTCAACTAAGTTATTAGGTTACAAATGTGCCCTAACACTACCCCACAACGACTTTTCGTTCTCAATTGGCCCTCTATCAATTACCTGTGTTGCCTGTACAGCGAGGCATTTTGAGAAGGAGAAACCCATCCGGAATGCTTTAGGTTTATCAATAACAAAGATAAACATGGTCTGAGTTACACACCGGTAATCTTTGAGTTGACTCTTTTAAACTCATTGTAAATATGACTGTTGTTCGTTTTGAAATAACTCCTGTAATACTGTGCAATTGCTCGAATTCGAGCAACATGTACACTAGTTTTTATAATTTTGGCCTTAAAAAGGTATGGACGTACCGCAGATTTGCCATCAAGCATCGGCATTCATTTTGACGTATATTTCGAGTTATGCACAAACTGCCTCCCTGTACATTTCTTATGGGAGTTAAATTTGTTTTTTTTAGTTCAATGTTTCGCAGGCGGGCGATGGTTTACAGGAGAGCTCTTCTACCCTCCCGATTTTCATAATTTTGGTCTTAAAGCTATGCAAGCACATCAAGCATCATCATTAATTTATCTAATGTATTACTCGCAAAAAATATTTTTTCACTTCAATTAACTATGTATTCCAGCAGTTCTAATCACATTATACATTTTGGTCTAAAAACCTTAAGTGAAATACCAGCTCTCATTTGAGCTATTGGTTATTAAGATCGGACTACCTAAAGCACACTGCTGAATCACGAATCAACAATAATTACAATCGTTTTAGTACCTATCTGCAATCAATGATAGGCTACGTAACTCTATTTTTATTTAAGTTATTTTATATGTCTTTGTCTTAAAATACTTCAGAGACTTTCGCTTGAGATATTGATAGTTTTAATCAGTTAAGTTCAAGTTACTGTGCTCAATCAGTAATATAAATTTGATTGTATCTTAAATATGGAATTTAGTTTTATAGATATATTTACTTAATTCTAATTACGTTATTCTATTTGTTTTTACCTAAAAACCTTCATTGAAATACCAGCTTCCATTTCATTAAAGCACACAGCTAAATCACGACCAACACAAATTGTTCAAAAAATGAAGTTATTTATCATCGATTAATAGCTAAACGATCTTGCTTGCAACCTCAACAGTACTTTCATAAATATTTGCAAATCTTCAAAAATTAGGCTATCCAATGACCTATTAATTAATAAAATCGGTTCAGTAGAACTGTAGATTTAATTGTCAACAGCATCTTTAATTCAGTATTTTCTCACTACTATAAATTTGGAGGTTGCTTAGTTTATTGCCAATATCTTTTAAATGGAGGGGAAAACAACCAAACTGAATGTGATATTCTGAAAGAGAATAAAATTTACTACAAACAACTACTATGCATTTCTTGAAAATGCTTAATAAAGGCAGCCAAAAGCTGCCTACAAATAGAATCTTGAAAACAGAAACTTGAAAAAAGCAGTTTTTAATGTAGGTTTTGTTTTTTTACTTTTTTACCACAAATATTTAATAAAATCACATCATTTTATAATTATTTGCAAATCTACATGAGTTAGGCTTTCTAATGACCCATTAATTAACAAAATCGGTCCAGTAGAAGTCTAGATTTAGTTGTACCTACAAAGTTTAACAAAAATATCCCAAACTCAATATATTCTCATTACTATAAATTCGGAGGTTGCTTAGATTTTTTGCAAATAACTTTTAAATGGTGAGGAAATCGACCAAAGTGGAAGGTGATATTCTGAAAGAGAATAAAATTTCCTACAAATTGATACCATGCACTTCTTGGAAATATTAAAAAATGGCAGCTAAAAGTCGCACGCAAATAAAAAGTGTGAAAAACACCGTTTTCAATGTATTTCTTATGGAAAACATGTTTTTTTTTTTTAATTTTTCACCATAAATCATAACAAAAACAAACTTTCATAATTATTTGCAAATCTACACAACTTAACCTTTCCAATGACCCATTAATTAATAAAATCGGTCCAGTAGAACTCTAGATTTAGTTGTACAAAGATTTTTAAAACGGAATTATATATAGAATAGATATGTTTTATAACCGCAGCACAGCTGATGTTCTATATTTAATTATTTTTGTCTATGGTAATATACCTACTCCCTTTTTTTATAGAATTTCAATAGTGTGAGAGTATGGTAGGTTGTTCAAGCCTTGATCCCATTTCTTCTACCTACTTTACATCTTTTTAAATAAATGCATAATAAACGGAGAATAAACTTTTCTATTGGTCCAAATCTTGTCAAAAACTAATCGATTTTATTTGAATGATAATACCTTAACCCTCCAGGCCAACAGTTGTCAACCTGTAGAAGGGTGTGAGCACTCCTAGAAATTTTTTTTAAAAAATAAAGAAAAAATAATATAAAATATGATTTAGGATTCTAGCTCCCGATATATAAAAACTATAAATTTAATCACATTACCTTATCAAAAATGGAATCTATCTATATATTAACAGGCAAGCATGTTTCTTTAAAACCTTTTTTCTCAGCTCGTGGGCATGGCAGGGAAAATCTACGCATACTGTTAGAAAGATATTTTCATCACTCCTTAACGAAAGTAACTATTTTCGATAACATCTGACATCAATGAAAGTAGTTGTTTCCCAAGTTCTAATTTAGGGCGAGGGAAAATCGATCAGCTGATTTTCCCTCGCTCTAAATTTACTTTCCCTCGTTCGTGTATGTATAGTCAAAAGTTCTTTTATTGTTTTATTTTACGGTTTAATCCAAATTTATTGAAAAAATATGTAAGTTTCCTTTAGAGTATTTTCTTTTATTTTTTTGTTCTAAAATTAATCGAAAATATACGTACGTATCCTTTTAGAAGATTTTATTTTATTTTGATGCTAATCAAATTAATTGAGAAATAAATTAGTTGTAATATTACTGAGGTCTGCTATATTCTGTGTTTGTGTATTTTTGCGTCGTGATGAAAAGTATCGTACCGAAAGTTATTATCCGGCACTTGCTCCATTATTCCCGTCCTCGGCTTCGCATCACACGTGAAATTGGGGTTCCCTGTGTTCGGCTTCGCCTCACACAAAAACTTGAGCGCGCGCCGGAAAATGCCACTTTCGGTCCTAGTAATGAAATATACTATTTACTGTAGATGTGCAGAATCCCCTTCAAAATTAAAATAGGCTCAAATATAAGCACAAAAAATGAATTTGAATTTTTTAAAAATTAACATGGGCTTTGTGGGTTAGTGGGTTGCCATGCTGGTGACGAAATAACAACAAATTATAAACAGAAAATCAAAACAAATGTAAGAAATTACAATCACATGTTTTATTTACAGGGTGGGGTGGAAATAGAGAAGCCTCTACCTTCGACCATTTGACTTACAACATTTTGTTCCCATCCCAATGTTAAGTTGTCGCCAGTTTTTAAATTAAATTAAATTCGTCGTAGTTGATGTGAGCCACCAACAGATTTCTCTAATCTAAATGAATAATTTCTGTAGAATACACAATGTTTTTTATCAAGTAAAACTTTTGGAACTACTTATTATGAGTTATAGCAACTTTTATGACCCATCTACTTTATCAGCAACAAAAAAAAGGGTAGAAAATATAATTTTAGACGCACATTCTTTGACTGGCTCACACAACTAAATGTTTTTTAAAATAAAAAATGGTGACAGCTGGTCCATATAGGTGGGATGTCTACTTCAGTATCCAATAGTCAATGGGTGTAGATTACTATTGGTCGAGTTTTCGACCACTGGACGACCACTAGTATAAATAATTATTACAGGGATTAGAATGATGCTATTTAATATGACATTTTGAGCTTAATATGGGGGCGTGAAGCAAAAAAGGTTGGAATCCCTACTCTAGAACTTGAAGTAATGTAGAAAACGATTCCAGGCTTGAACCTGTGATGTGGAGGTGGCACATTATAAAGTTCATCAAGAAAAGTAATGGGGTAATCAAAACATCATAATAGGAACAATCACAGTTTATTGGATAAGGTGTACAAAAAATCAACTCAATCTGAGTCGGTTTCGTTTGCGATTCTCTCCAACTCGGCATTCCTCTTACAAATCGCATGGAACTTCACCAAATAGCATCTGTCCTTTTTCATCCATTCACTGAAATCATGTGAATTATGTTCAATGGTTTTTAATAAGTGCTAGAGGGTAAACTAAGGTGTTATAGGGGTTACTAAGGTTTTGGCACAGAAACTTTTGATTTAACCTTAACCCTTGGAGCTCTAAGGATATTAAGTAAAATTTAACATTTGATTCTCTTGGCATTGGAACAAATATTCCTAACTATTTAAAACAATTTAGTAGTAGGCACGTCTCTTTTTGACATGCCAATCATTTTCTATCCCGCTAATCTCTGTTGAAAGCACCCAAAACGGCCAAAACTCATGAGTTCCACACACAGATAGAATTGAAACCCACAAACGGGAGACAACCTTAGATTGCGCTTGAACATTGATCAGTCCAATTATTGGTCTACCAACAACAACACTGGTTAATCCAATACCCAAACGTTCAAAATTTTATTCTCAGATTGCAGTTGGCAGGCATAATTTTTAGCTTTAATTGAGTTGTACTTGCTCAAATAAGAAATGTGGAATTTAAGGGATTATTGAAGACTTGTAAGAACAAAAACCAAAGTTCTGACACATTTTAGTTCAGAAATCTGTCATTTCCCAAGGTAAGAAAGTACCAAAACATAGCAAGAATATTACTAAGACCAGCTGGATGATCATGTAAGAAAATCACTTGAGTACTTTTAAAGGTAGTATTTTAAAGGGTTTGTTTGTTGACTGGGACAGTGGCGTCGTCCTGTAATCTAGCTACTAGGATGCCATGAATTTTGGATACTTAATTGATATAAAATTGTGGATGCTGTACTCCCTGGTGTGGATTAACGTCCGCACTAGTGAGTACTGCGACTATCCACAGTATTATCCTTATAATTGGAACTTCTACCATTGGTATTTTGAGTTAATTACGATATTCGACGGCTTCATTCATTCTTGAAAGAATTTCATCTTTGTAAATCCAGCTAGACTTATACGACCCATAATTAACCTAAATTCTTCAGCGCCTTTGGATGCACAGCAAAATCACCCATTAAAAAGGTTTAGACAAATGTCATGAAATAGTTAACTGTAACTTATGGTAGTGCAACATAGCCACTGCATCACTTTGCTTCTGATCAGAAAGTTTTAAAAGGTATGGAGCACTTTACAACGTTAAAACAATACAATTCATTTAAATTGTTTAGTGCTCACAAGACAGCTGTCTTGTTTACAGAGTGGTAAGATGAAGTGTTTATACCAATTATCAAAAACACAATATTCCCTCTACAAAAAAGGGACTTTTGTTAATGAGCCAATCCACCTATGGTTAAATATTTTCAAATGTAAAATTGGATTCAAATGTAAAATTGGAAAGTAAACAAAGATTGTAAGTGGTTTCCTAGGAAACAAAATATTCATCAGTTTGTAAATTATCCTCGTTGCAACAGGAGCTTTTTAAATTTGACAATCTTCATCGATACAATTTTTGAAAAAATTAAATTTGAGTTTATCATGGATAAAGCTGGGTTGAAGAAAACCACAACAAACTTGGTACCCAAGCCCACCAGGATGCCTTATATAAACTTTGTGCAAGCATTTCGCAACTCGCACCCTGGGGAGTTCAGTCCCAAGGAGATGATAAGGGAAGCGGCTGCGGCGTGGAGGTCTCTCAGCGACACTGATAAGAAGCCGTTTGTAGATCTGGCAGCCAAACAGCCGCGTCAGAAGAAAGTCAAGCGGCTTAGAAGACGCAGGACCGACAGTGAATACTCCTACTACTAGTTCCTTCCGGATTTTGTATAAATTCTATGTGAATGTGTGACTTGTGTGTGAAGCTAAATTAAAAATATTTATATTTTAAAGTAATCATTTGTGAGTTAACTTTTTATTTGGACCTGCTTTTGTGCAAGCTGACAGGTATTTTTTTATGGTAAAGTATTTTATGATTGTGATCATGTTTACTAGTTAGGGAAACTGTAAAAAGAATAGATAAAATCCATGATAAACCCGGGGGTGACAAGGGTTCAAAAAGACAATTCCCTGTTGTCCGACGACATGAGCATTAAGCCTCGTTCACACGGGGCAAGTTTACACGCTACTCGCCGGCGTGTAAGAAGCCGGCGAGTTGGCGAGTGTGCTTGTATTTGTTCACACGGAGCTTGTCCACTTGCCAACTCGCCGACGTGTAGAAAGACGCTAGCGAGTCGGCGAGTGCGCTTGTAGTCGTTCACAGGATGTTTTTTCCACTCGCTCAGTAGCTGGCTTGAACTAAATCCTCCGACATCTCCGAATAACATGCGCACAAGCACAAGCAACTGTGTTCACACTGGGCTACTTTACCACCTACTCGCTCAACAGCTGGCAAGTTGGGGTGTAAAGTAGCGGCGTCAACTTTTTCCAGAGCTTTTTTACAAGCAGCTTTTGAGCGAGTACGTCGTTCACACTGAGCTTGTCAAAATCCGGCTTGTAGCATGTAAACTCGCCCCGTCTGAACGGGGCTTAACAGAACATGTGAATATATATAGGCATGCGATACTCCCTGGTGTGGATTAACGTCCACACGAGTGAGTACTACAACTATCTGCAGTACTATCCTGAAAAATGAGACCAATTCGTATATACCATGGCAAAAATGTGGTTCGGATTCCGCAATAAACTGCAGGTCTCTTAGTTACCATTGGCTGTATGGGCTATTAATTAACAGCTGTGTCTAAGGAACATGTCGGCACTATATCGGATGACGATTTATTTTAAAAGTTCATTTTGCCAAAGTAAAGGTTAGTTAACTTTTGTGTGCAATGTAACATCCCCGATGACCATAGGTTTTACATAACAATTAACTTGGAAATTTTTCTATATAAAATATGACTTTAAATTAACTCAAGAATCATCTATAGGCGTGCAAGCAAGCCAGAGATTTTTAATCCAGTTGAGCTTTTAAAGGTTAGCGTATGTGTGCAATGTTACTAAAAATCTCTGATGACCATAGGTTTTACATAAAAATTTTCTTGGCAATTTTTTAACTTAAGAATCTACAGACGTGCAAGCAAGCCAGAGATTTTTCAATCAAGTCAAGCTTTTAGAACAAACATTTTACTGAAGCTCTTTTTGACCCGAGCCTCATTAAACAATGGATGTGTTGTAATGCAATATAGTAAATAATTTGAGAAGTCACAAATCTGTTCAAAAAGCAATGTGGTAACATTTTAAAATTACTACTTATATTATTCAATTGTCTTTCAAGTTTTTGTATTGAATATTAATATAACCTTCATACTCACTGGTATTCATTTGAATCTGCATTCCCTTCTTTGGCCATCTTTGATGTTGCAAAGCCTATCAATCCTCTAATTTTATTTAGTTCAAAACACAGTTGAACGCTGTAAGGACCATACTGCTTCTCAACAGAATCCAAACATTCTTCAACAATTTCCACTGCCTCGTGAAATTTGCCTGAAAATTGCAGTAATAAAATCAATTGAATGACAGTGGATACAGCTTCATATAACTAATGAAAACAGTCACTGTTTAAGGATGTGCGGCATGAATGATTAGATTTTTATCACTGTAAACAGCTGTATTTAAAACAAGTAGAGCGGGCGAGCTGGTCTAGTGGTAGGACGTGGGTTTCGGTCGCTGAGCTCCCGAGTTCTAATCCCGCCAAATCACCAATGGATTTTATCTAAGATAATGCTGCAACCCCTGCCTGAAGTAATGTAAAAAACAATCCTGGGCTCATGCCTAGCGTCCTAGGACAAAAAAGGCATAATTTTAGAAAAGTTCTAGAACCATAAAAATACGCAGGATGAATTATTATATAATGCAAAGAAGATATTAAGAGTATAAAAGATAACAGTTGAACAACAAAACTCCCAGAACCTAATTGAGGTCAACGGCAGGGCTAAGGGAGTCCCGGAAGAAAACAGTAACATAGACATAGACATATTTTATTGACACAAAACGTTCTTTATAAAGTTACATTTCATACATAAGAACAGGTGTTTCGTCATAGTTATGTATTTTATAGTAAAATTTATAGTTAAAATAATTAAAATAAACTCATGTTGGATATCAGAAATTTTTTATCTACACTATAGGGTTCTCCAAAAATTTGTCAAGTGATTAGTAGGCTTTATCAATTATTTTATCTTTGAATTGAGTAGCATTTATATTTTTTAGATACAGGGGTAATTCATTGTACAACCTAAGTCCCATATATTGAGGGCTGTTCCTAAATATCGTCTAACTGATAACCAAACGAGTGAAGCAATATTGGGAAAATAAGAATAGTTGAATACAAGAAGACACAGATTCAATTGAAGGCCATAAAATAATAGGAACACAATAAATGGACACTAATAGTATTTTGCATGCCAGCATGGTCAACAACTCCAGCACAATCAACAAACTTTTCTGAAAGTAAGACAATCATAACCTCCTTCCAACAAAACCTAAGTTTAAAAATGTATAAACAAGTTACTATGCAATATGTTCTGAAAAACAGCCCAGTTTCCAAGGAAACTTCTCATTACAAACATTTTCCTGAACACCTACACACGCAAAATTTTCAGTGAACAAATTTTGAAACAATTCAAAATGTCCAAGACACAGCTTACACTGAGAGGTCTGCAGAGTGGTTTCACCCTGGTCCGACGCAGTGTCATGACCGGGGCTGCTCGACTACAGAAGGGCAAAGGCGTGATTCCTTCCACCGCCTACGACGAAGGAACTTGTGGCATCCCTCCGTGGGTCATTGAGACTGAACTGAAGAAAGAGCAGAAGAGAGAAGAGATCAAACTGCCATCTCATCTGATCCGGCCACCGTGCCTGCCTGGAGGGGAGACGGGAGACTACCAAACGTGCGTGATCGAAGACAAAGAAGGTGGAATGTACTGCGTGCCCTGCAGACTCAAGTACAAATACCCGTCCTTCTCTGAGAACATTGACTTTGTCCCACCGAAAGAGAACGTGTGTTGGTGGAAGGGAACCTCGGCAGAATGTGAAATAAACCAGGAGGCACTCAATAACATCACAAAACCAGCTACTTGTGACTTCGGTGATTTTGGAAATGTCAAGCTTGATCTTTGACAACGTCAACTAATTATGTATTTATTCACTGTGAAACTGATAAGGTATTACACCACACAAGAAATGAGTTGTACATTATTAAATAGTTTGAAATCGATATGACGATTACACCTCGTAAGTTAGATTTAAGAAAAGAAAATGGCAAATAGGTAATACTATAACGGTGAAAGTGGATAGAATTGGTAATGGTTATTGTAATAATCCTGTTATAGTCCTATAACAGAATATTGCCTCCTGAGGCAATAACTAGGTTTAAGTAATTAGAGTCTTAACAATACAATAATTATGCAATGAGTAAGTAGTTTTTTATGGTTCAAAAATGGACATAGCCTTCCTTGATCATTTGAATAAACAGTCCTGGCTAAAGCTGTATGCTCATTCCATAGCCACACAGGTCATCTCACTCTCCATTCTACACTCACCTCACATGTACTATAGTATGAATATTCAGTCCAAGGAACCAAAGTGAGCATCGCTGTCTCAAAGTATCAATTTATTGATTTATATTACTAAGAAATATTTTACTTACCCAAATCAGCATAAGCACGAGCCAAACAATCTTTGTATGTCCTTAATTCAGAGTTATGTAAATAGAGGCATTTTGATGCCAAAGTAACGCTTTTCTCCAAAATTTTCAGGGCTTTTTCAGTTTCATTACTCTCCAATAGTCTTTCACCTGTAATGAAATAAATTAATAAAATTACAATCTAAATATAAATTACAATAAACTCCCGACTATCCACGAGTAGATTAACCATGATTGCAAAAAATAAAATATATTCTGCAAGTTAAATGTAGGATGTGCTATGTTATACAGTGCAGACCAAGATGTTTAGTGTGATGAGGCCATCTCACAGAGTATTTTGCTATTGTCTACTTGCTTCACCAACCATCAATGAGTCACATCCTTGCCAGTGACATTATGGGGTGTCATGACTTTTTTATGACTGGGCCTATACATGGGCTCTTAATATTATTTGTTTTGTAAATATACGTAGATCTAACTATACATTCAAAATTAATGTTATTTTCCAGTCATTTTAGGTGCTACACGTCTTCTCAGTCTTCAACTGATTAACCGGGGTTTTGCGGGTTGGTGTGAAAGCAAAATAATGTTCAATCGGTTCCAGGAAAGATGCACTTGAGGTTATTTTAAACTACCGGCTGGCGAAAACAAAAACAAATATTTTTCTATAAAAACAAATGCGCCTGGAGGAAAACTCTGTGCTGTCACAAATGAAAAGTTAAAACGGAGTGTAGCCCATCCTGTATTTAAAGGATGCCTTCTCGAGTTTTGTTACAATTGGCCGGACAAAAATATGTTGGATTTGCTCAAAGAAGAGTTAGAAACCATGTTAGAAATAAGAAACACCCCTTCAAAATCTAAATGTTTTCCACAAGCCCTTTACCAAAACACTTATTACCTAAACATTTAACAAAAAAAATGTACGATTAAAAAAAATGGTTAAACCTGGTTTCATGTTGCACAGGCAGACTTGTATTTTAAAATAGAGACTTAGCAACAGAATATGGTTAAAAGGGGCGAGATGGAGGTATCATTTACTTCATTCCATACTTACAGCTTTGAAATTATATGGCAACCAGCATAGATTTATTACCTTACAATTCAAACCCTCCAGAAATATTGGTTCGATGTTATGCATCCAAACGAAAAGAGATCGCCTAAAAACATCTAAAGGTCGCTGGTTCAATTCCATGCAAGATCGATTCTGGGTCTAGATGAAATTTTGTCATCAGGAATTAATGATGCTAACAAAAGGTTGAAGTTAGAAAGTAACAAAAACAAAGGTTTAGGCAGTTTCCTTAAAAAAAGCCAATATAATAACAATAGACACAAAATTTATTCATATCACCAACCTTCACAAAAACCTTCATGTGCGGTGAGCGCCATATTGAGCAGTTCTACCAACATTTGCTGTTGACCGCAGTCAGAACATTTCGCATGCCCTTCCACCACTGGACCTGCACAGAAGGTGCACCGGAATGCCAAGAACTGGTCTAAATATGCGTCCGAATTGTCATTGGAGCATCTGTTACAGCAGCAGTCAAAGAAGTATTGGTCCCAGAGTGCTTTCTGGCGATCTTTTCGTTTCATGCTGGAATAGTGGGGACCTGTAATAGAAAAATGTACTGATATAAAAATATTAATACTACTGTTGAAGTTGTAAGCTAAACAAGCCTAGAACCGTTACCAAATAATAACCTTCAACCCCTGTTCTGCACAGTTCCAAAAGTATCAGAGTCAATGTTCTATCTCTGGGAAATAAGTTGTTGGTCTTTAACTAAACCATAACGATGATAAATGTACCAGGCATTATGTTGAATATATGCTAAGACTCACTGTTTATTTAGCCAGGATCATTTATGAAAACCCCAATTTAAAAAGAAAACTAGGTCCAGTTTCAAACAATCAAAAAGCTACTGACTTCTCAGGATTGAACCAGTAATCTTCAGATTATTAGGTGAGCCATCTAGAAGGACTAGAAAAGGATAGGACAGTAGATCTAGGACCTTGATATTCATCCTTTGGACTCAATGGCACTTAACCCCACACAGACCCTTATTAGACCTTGTTTCTAGTCCTGGTTGTTACTTAATGTTGTTTTTAGAAGATCATTTACTATGGTTATTCTTGCCAGTAAGGAATAAATATAACAAATCAACAATGTAACATGGCCATGAAAGCATAACTGCAAGCTTAAGTTCTAGTGTATGGTAAAAAATACATATTATTAACATCCTCTAAAAATTCATTAATTCCTTAACACTATACAATAATTTCCTCACCGTAACAGTTGAAAACTTCATCATCTCTCATTATGTTTTTTGATGCTTGGACAACCAGAACTTCATTGATGAAACTGAAAAAATATAAAATTACAGTTTTTTTAGTTGGTTTTAAATTAGTGTCCCTAAAAAACCTGTTCCTAAAATATCGACTTAAGATAGCCAATGATCATTGATGACATTCTTTGACATTGTTCCAACTTTTTACAGTTGTGTTGAACAGTGGAAATCGACTGAAAGACAATTGAACAACTGAAATTTAACCACAGAATATTAAAAGTTTTTTTTTTATATCGGATAAGTGACTTATTAGAAGTTACCTACACATGAGCCTCATGGTGCTCATCAATGCGCCGAATGGAAGTTTAAAGCTCTTTCTAAGGCTTACCTGTGAGAAATGTTCTGATCACAAGAGTGATTCATCATACTGGCTGAAGGGTAGATGGCGGTGGCGATTCTAGTTTGTCTTTCTGTCGTGGTGAGGCGACCTTTCGTCTCATTGTCTGCGTCCACTTTGGTGATTGCGTGTCCATTGCAGATCAACTGAGCTATGTGTTTAAATATCCGAGTCCCCATGGAGTTAACCGAAATGTCTGACCGGTCGAAGAAGAAACTCGTATGTTTGTACAGATACAATGTGAGGAGGACAGCCGTCTGTAAAATAACAGTTCCAAGTCACATATTCAATAGGCCCAGGAAGTTGATTGTGTTAAATATTTTAGATTTGACAAAAATTACTGTCAATAAGTTTTTCATTTTCATTTCATTTCAATATCTTTATTCAAAAATTGTATATTGTACATTGAATAGTGTCAAATTCCTAACCTAGTAAATACAGTTATAAGCATAAGCTAAAACTACAATTTATACAATACTAAGAAACTACCAATAAAATCAGGTTAATTGAGGAAACACCTCTTTAATGGAGTAAGGAACGATTTCTATAAGATAATTTTATTTAATGTTGTCAATGGGTTTTAAATGATTTGGAAGAAAACGTAAAAACCTTTTTCCGGCACAGGTGGGCTTTTTATTTGAAAATAAAAGATGGTTGCGACTATTTTCTCTTAGGGCTTTTCCTCTTGTATTGTAGCATAATTGTGCGTTATCTGGTATACTTTCTTTCGCAATGAGAGCAGTTTCAAAAATGTATTGGGCAAAGACAGTTAGTATTTAAACATTTTTTAAATGAATTTTAACACAGTTGGTTATAATTGGTTAATAATAAGATTGATGAAAATATAACCATCAACAAGCGAACTACTAGTTACTCAAGTTATCGTGCTTATGGGCACTACAAACTTGAACTGATGGTATTTTTGGCCTCTGGGAACAACAAAATGAAAAAGTAAATCGCTCCCAGGTCTTTCCGTAATACCTGCGGTAAAAGCTTATTTCCTATGGGAAATTCGCTAAAAGAAAATTATCATTACAAAAAACCAAAATCAAATACTTACAAGTGCGTATTGATAGAGGTCTTTAGTATTCATATCTTTCATATGAGTCTCCAATCGATCCACTCTCCCGTATTCATCACTGTTGTCAGAGAGTAAAGCGACCCGCAGTCCTAGATGAGCAATGCCTATACTGTGACATATGTCTAGTCCGCCACACTCCCAGCGGTGGTAGCTGTCCCAAGCTGTCTGTCTACATCCCTCACTACAGAACTGAGCCTGTCTACACTGTCTACACCTGGCGTAAAACATGCATCTATTTGTTATTCATGTTGTTTATATTGTTACCTACGCTAGTGTTATTTGCAATCCCAAAAGCTGAAAATATCAGTTAAAAAGATCAATCAAATCTGTAACCTTCACCTTTCACCTTGTGTACATGTCCTTGTATTTTTTAAACCTATCAAAAAACTTATACTGCCTTTAAGATGGAGAAATGTAAATTTTCACAACGTTGGCAGTTAAGAAGAGTTACAGTAACACTAATTGAAAAGTGATGCAAAGTTTCTTTGTCACACATTTGACCATTGGACAGGATGATACTTACGGTAAGAAAGCAACTGACTTCTTGCAGCAATGGTGACAATGACGGTCGTACTGTTCAGGCAATACGACCAGAGCAAACGGTTTCTCAACAAAGATTATATCTCCAACCGTCAAGTGGTCTGTTGCTATAACATGCCTTCCCTTTTCTTTTGAGATCCTAAAAAGAGATAACCATGTAACTGAACACTAGAGTTATGATCAAACATAAGATAAAATTGAGCATAATTAATTTGGCCTGATGATGACTCCTATGTGAGTCAAAACCGGTTGTAATTTAGCAACACTGGATCGCGTAAATGCAGGTATTTACACCAATTTATAGAATTTAAATGCGATCAGCGGCTAAAATTCAATATAGTAAGAACATAAGAGAACGGTAGGAATATAATCAGTGCAAATGGAATAACATTAACTGTTATTTGTCAAAATTTAAACCTTTCAGCCTTACAAACAAAGAATACAAACTAGCAACTGATTTAGTAATTCTTGAAGGTTTATTATATTATAGGTACTTATACAAAGTGTTCACTCTACAACAGTAGTAGAATTAATATAGCTGCATCCAAACTCTGTTAAAAATAACAAAATTGATTGTAAATTGTTCCAAACCATTATAGAAAATACTTACCGTAACGAGACATTAGCAGATGCACTTGGGAAGTCCTTATTTAATCCCCCTACAGGTATTGGAAGTGGTTTTTTACGTGTTGACTTTTTTTCATCAGTTTTGTTTAAAGACAACAAATCATGATATATCTGCTTTAATTCCTTATTGCCCAATTTATCTATAAAAAAATAAATTTCACAGTGCTAACATATTTCATTACAATTAACATAGTCAGTTTTGTTTAGAGGTTTAATGCTGCGACTAAATAACAATTATTTGTTGGAATGGTTATCGTGCTAATGGACATATTATATGAATTTGAACGGAGGGTGTTTTTGGCTTTTGGGGACCTCAAAACATAAAAGAGAATTGGTCTCAGGTCCAAGTCTTACCATGAGACCTACGGTGAATAGTTTATGCCCTATTTGGGAAATTGGGCCTGGGGTCTATGGTGTAGTGGTTAGAGCTTGGGACTTCGGTCCGTGAGGTCCTGGGTTCAAATCCCGTCAAATCACCAATGGATTTTATCTAAGTGATAATGCTGCAACCCCTAGGTCTAGCCTGAAGTAACGTGAAAAACAATACCGGGCTCGTGCCTAGCGTCCCAGGACAAAAAACTGTTTATCATTAACTCTTCAATAATTGAGTGAAACGGCCAACTAATTTAAATAATTTATTTCTATTTTTACAATAGGACGACAATCTATGTGCACTGAGGTGAATAATAAATCCGCTAATTTATAATGGCCTATTTGAAGATTTTATAATCTTCTGATCCTCAAGTTCAAAGGACTGTCTCTTTCATAAGTTAACTTTACAATTTAAAATATTACTTGTGGTAATGACTGTACTTTTGGATCTTCTGATCTTTGGGTCTTATGAAAATGATCCATAGAGGATAGTAAATCAGCTAATATTCCCTAGAGGCTATATGGGAAATTCGCTAAAACTGTATGTTACCTATTTCGTCTTCTTTTGGATACAGAGTCCTGATGATGTCCAAAGAGGCTTTGTACATTTTCAATTTATATAGCACAATGACTTTGCGGATGAGAAGCTTCTGGGTTGGAACAGCATCGTTCTTGTTCTGCAGAGCCAAATCTATGTCTCTGGCAGCTTCCTACGAAAGAAACGTTATCTAGGAACTTGGAAAATAGACGGTACACTTTATTCACATGTTCATTGAGCACAGAACAGTGTCACAGGATATTTACAGGTTTACTTAGTAGGCTAACTAAAAATTATTATTTATTTAGGCTACTATTTATTTAACAATTAGCCTACACCATTTTGATAGTTCTAGGATTCATGGGACTAAAGTCAGGACCACGCAAGTTTGCAGTTGGTGGCAGCCAATCAAAAGACAAGGCTAGTGTAACGTTGCCACATCGCCCGTTTACAACACTAATTAAAATATACTAAGCAATATTTTTAAATCAGCTGGTATTATTAGATTTGGCAACACCGCACTGCCCTCATTGGTTAATTCAAAACCATATGGTAAATAGGCTCCTCCCTCAACTGCAAACTTACGTGGTCCCGACTATAGGTATTTTTTTTTTATTGCAATAACTTATGGTTTGAATAAGTAACAAAAAAAGTAGGCCTCAGCTAAATATCACAGTTAGGTAGACGGATGTACAGAAGAAAAGGTAGAACTACTGTTTATCATGTAAAAAAAAACTATGCAATAGGCAGTCTGCAGAGACAAAATTACGATAAACCAAACAATAGAATATAACTTTACCTCATAGTATTTCAATCTCATGAGTACAGCTGATCTGTTGGCTAGGGCTAAGGCGAATTCTGTTGACTCATAAGGAGCAGCACTGACACTTAGATTATAAATTGTTAACGCTTCTTCATCATTCCTTTCACAATACGCCTTGTTGCCTTCTGAACGATATTTTGCAGACTCGTTGGCTGATTTTGGCTTAGTTTTTACTTTATCGGCAAGCCACTCCTCCAAATAGTTTCTGAAAATTATAGTAAGCTTAAAACAAGAATGAGCTAAAACTTAATTAGGTCTATTTGACAGATAAATGGTACCTTACGTATTCTTTAATGCTACTTACACAAAATCCTAACTAGGCCTATTTTTGTTGAATTTGGGTGAACAAGACAGAATGCTAACTTCATAACACTATAATATACAGAACAATTACGAAATAGTGAAGAAATACAGTAAAGTATAGGCCTAAATATAATTTGACAAGGTAAGACAGGGGTGCCCATCACCCCCTAGACTCATGACGCACCCCCCCCCCCCAATTGAGCAACAGCCCCCCCCCCCCCCCACCATAAATGAGGTACACAACAAATGAGAAACATCATTCCCCCTCCCAGCACTAGGCCTATTTGTAAAACTAAATAAGTTTTATAATTTTTTTAAGATATTGAAAATTCAAACCCAGTTAAATATATTAATAAAGTTATAGTTTTGTCTGTACATTGCTAGGAATTATACATATCTTGGGTTATTTTTTTGTTTTATACATTGAAGCAGTTGAAACATGTCTTATCTAAATTGATGTCCGTCTGTCACAGCCCAGAAGGCATTTTACGCAGCATACTCTAAAGAAAACTAGAGTACCGATTATGATTCTAATGGTTTAAAAGTATTCACAGGATTAGCGATAGTGTCCTTAGCCATTAAAATATGGCCTCACTATTTTGGAAATAAAATAACGGACGATCAAAAACCCAATTTTGTGTGATGTTTCTATTTTTTTTCTCCATGTTTACTACATACAACATTTATTAATAATCTGTTGTGAGGACACGTCACATATGAAATTACGAACAGCTGTTTTGATAAAGATTCCTTTTTCTAGCTGTCACTGATATGTTTTTACATAAATGTTGTTTATGAATACTGTGTATGCCCTAACGATTTCCAATCACGTTTGTAACCATTTCCGATCACGTTTGTAAGCAAATCCAAAACCAAGTGAGATTAACAACTGTGTGGCTTTGGCTTACATAACGGGTTTGATTTATCACGGGTACTAATATGTAACTGTAAATTAAATTTAAAAACTAGCCATCATCCAGGTCAGGAACCGGAGATTCTGTGTGTATAAAGTTGTACTTGAATTTTGATTACCGGGAAAAGAACGTGAATCAGTTTTGTAGACTACTGGAAAACTTATCTTTCTATATAACTAAAATTAGAGTTTTATAAGTCACCTCAATTTAAGGATTTTTTATTGCCAGACTATCTATATAGCGTTCGTAACCTCTGCTTAACGAATCGTCAGCGTATATAACGATGATATAACGACCCCCTCTCCCTCCCTTTGGAAACATCACAGCTCCTTTGGTGAAAATAAAATGGAAACAACGCTTGCGCCAACAATCGTCTGCTCCGTTTTACACTTCTGTCTGCTGTGCGCTATGTTACAACAGATCTAAGATACAACAGCTGGGAAATGATGACGATCCTGCTTAGTAAACTGTGATTGAGTGATAACCGTGGTAACTTTAGTAAGGCATATAGTGATTGGGCAATGAGTAGGCCTAAATATTGTAAAGAAAAAAATAAAAGTTCTTTACTTACTTATTACTTCAAAATATACTCTTTACTTAATTGATCATTCCATCAAGCAAAATCACCTCACACCTTTATGTAATGCAATTTGGCTATTCCATACAGGTGTGAGTATAACAAAAAGTTGCCCCCTGGTGGGGTTTTAATGAATTTAATTTACACTTTTAATTGAACTACTGAGGACATTACAATCACAGAGCTGCGCAGTGGAAATAAAGATGTTAAGTGTGGGCCCTGTAATTAAATATCCCAGAAGTCCGATTTATGGACCGTGAGAGGTCTGATATGTTGTCCTCCTTCACACCTTCTTCAGCTTAATTCTAACACTTCTTAAAACTAATAGATGTGTCTATTTGATCACTCCATGAAATAAAATGTGCTGTTCTGATGAAAGATTGTGATATGAATTGATACTCTGTAAAACTGTAAAAATGGCAAATAATAATATTGAAATATTGATTGAAAATATTTGTGAAACTGTTTGTTCAGGAAATATTTATCAAAAGTATGACTTCAAGATGATATATATATATACTGGATTCGGTTAAGCCGATTACTCATGAATTCAACAACTTGATATTAAATATTATGAACTGAACTTATAAAAATTGCACTGTCAAAATATATTTACAGAATGTGATCATCAACACTCATTGTGAATACTTTGTATACTTCTTTCAGTTAAGCCATTTACCTCTTTAATTTATACCAGATTGATACTAATAATACTAGCTGAAACACAGGTGAATGAAAAGATGGATTTTTGTAAAAATGCTGTATAATGAGATGATAATTGCAAATGAGCTGTGATACAATAATTAATAAAATTTATACAATGTGATAACCTTTTTTGTACACAATTTAACAATATTTTGAAAAAGAGAGTGAGAGAGTTGATTGCAAGATTGAATGTTCAAATTGGCGGTTTGTTCATTTTTTAAAACTGCAAAGTCTCGGGAAAACCTAGCCTTGATGATTTTATTTATTTGTTTTGGATCACCAGACTCCCCAAAGATGTTCGTAATTATCAAACTGGCCAGTTTACAATTTAATCAAACAGGGACTATTATGTAGGTTTGTGATCTACATCACTCCTTGCTGATCAGTGCAACGGGGCCAATCGACTGCTGAGTCGATTATTTGATAATTTTTTTTTAGTATTTAATATTTATGAATTTAATGGGAGTCTATCCTCATGACCCTTTATCAACCCTAGCCTTCGACCGAGCACTCTGTTACCCCCATTTACGTTACACAATCAAACTCTCACTATTTAAAAATGTAATACTGTTCAAAAATTATTCTACACATGAAATTCAAACGTTTTAAATAATAATACTGACGATGATAGAATCTGACTTTACATAGAATACAAAAATAATATCACAGATAAACATTGCTCTTTAAATTAATATACCATTTCAATTCAATTTAATAAATAATTTTCATTTGACTAGGTTCACTATTATAACTTAAATTCTTTGTATGACATGACCAAATTTAATAAAACATTTTATCCTGAATCGTGACCATGTGCTCTAAGTAGACCAAATGAAACATGAAAATCTCAGACCAAACAAAACATGATTCATAACTTGTAAAACGAGTGGTACATGTGAAAAAATGTGGCAGATTGGCAAGACTATTTTAATACTAAAACACAAATAACACAAACATTTACTTACGTACACATGTCGACACATACACATTCATTCCGACGAAGATTCACGCGTACCGAACATTTAAAAACTGACTCGTGGTAATTTTGTGACTTTTTGTCTGACCGAGCGGAACATCACGACACGGTTTTTTCTGGTGTAGGACTTATTAATTCTTGTTTTTTCGAGCTGGCGTTAAATGATTCAATTGAAAATACCGTCACGACGACCCGCGATTCGCTAGAAACTGACATTTGCTATCGATATGATGCATGTACGAATTTTCATCACGAACGCGAACAATCAATCCGGCATCTCAACTGTCTCGACTTAATACTAATAAAACACACACCCAAATGCAATTCGGCGAAATTTTGACAATTGCGATCGTTTGATGCACGTACAATTTCCGCCCGAACGCTAATTTCCGAGCTACGAATTAAGATATTAATAAATTCGTCCTACACCAGCGACAAAACGCGACTTCACATGTTGACTACGCGATTACTGAGCCACGAGTGACGAGGACGACGAGACGCTTTGCAGACGACGCGGTTCCCCGGTCTTCGTATCCTTCCGCGTTACGTCATGTTTGACTGACTTGTCCATTGCCTGTCGCGGATTTTAAATCTTTTGATTTAAAATCGGCACAGAAATCTCCCCTGCCAAAAGAAATTGGCCCGAGCGACCTTCAGGTCCGCACGAAGGCCTTATCCATCCCGGGACAATTTCGACCCGGCGCGACGACGCTTGACGTGGCAACAGACGCTTCATTCATACGACACATTTTTTGTTGATTTTTTTTTTCCATTGATTTACATTTAATACATTTAACACGAAACAATTTTACACATAAACATTTGAAATTTGAATAACAAAAATAGAAAATCTGAAACTTTAACAATAATAAACATTTTGCTTTGAGGTCGGTACTGAGAAATTAAAAATTGTTGTCAACTAACACCTTGTGTCATAAACCAAAACTGCATCAATCCATCAACAATTTGAATGGTGTAAACGCGCACGCTTAACACACTGTAGAATTATCTAGCATTCAGCGTTGAGTAGATGTCAACAATCAGTTCATTGACCCGTAGCGCAGTCGACAGTCAGCTGTTGCCGATGGAGTGGGCGGGGGCGGGGGACATTGTTGTGGTGAACGGCCCGATGTCTGCCTGTCTGTGCGGGTAGGTTCTACTCTCGCCCCACCACAGCTGGAACGTGACCTCTGTTGGCCAGCCTTCATGTCGCTCACAGTGGTTACATAACATGACTCAGATGATTCATTGTTTCTCAAAATATGTAATTATGAAAATGTTTAAAACAATTGACCTCAGTTTGACTCTATTTACTCAAAATTGAAAACTATTGCACATGTAAATATAAATATAAATATAAATATAAATAATCTCTGTACGAATATGACACAAATAAATAAACAAGTAAACAAACACAGAAATATCAATGTGGATAATTTCCTTAGAGATAACAACTGATACCCTTATCAATGCCAACCTGCCATGGTAGTAATGCCAATCTGCTTCCTTGTTACCAGACCTCTCAAATTAGTGCTATCACTTTTTGTAAAGAAAAAAATAAAAGTTCTTTACTTACTTATTACTTCAAAATATACTCTTTACTTAATTGATCATTCCATCAAGCAAAATCACCTCACACCTTTATGTAATGCAATTTGGCTATTCCATACAGGTGTGAGTATAACAAAAAGTTGCCCCCTGGTGGGGTTTTAATGAATTTAATTTACACTTTTAATTGAACTACTGAGGACATTACAATCACAGAGCTGCGCAGTGGAAATAAAGATGTTAAGTGTGGGCCCTGTAATTAAATATCCCAGAAGTCCGATTTATGGACCGTGAGAGGTCTGATATGTTGTCCTCCTTCACACCTTCTTCAGCTTAATTCTAACACTTCTTAAAACTAATAGATGTGTCTATTTGATCACTCCATGAAATAAAATGTGCTGTTCTGATGAAAGATTGTGATATGAATTGATACTCTGTAAAACTGTAAAAATGGCAAATAATAATATTGAAATATTGATTGAAAATATTTGTGAAACTGTTTGTTCAGGAAATATTTATCAAAAGTATGACTTCAAGATGATATATATATATACTGGATTCGGTTAAGCCGATTACTCATGAATTCAACAACTTGATATTAAATATTATGAACTGAACTTATAAAAATTGCACTGTCAAAATATATTTACAGAATGTGATCATCAACACTCATTGTGAATACTTTGTATACTTCTTTCAGTTAAGCCATTTACCTCTTTAATTTATACCAGATTGATACTAATAATACTAGCTGAAACACAGGTGAATGAAAAGATGGATTTTTGTAAAAATGCTGTATAATGAGATGATAATTGCAAATGAGCTGTGATACAATAATTAATAAAATTTATACAATGTGATAACCTTTTTTGTACACAATTTAACAATATTTTGAAAAAGAGAGTGAGAGAGTTGATTGCAAGATTGAATGTTCAAATTGGCGGTTTGTTCATTTTTTAAAACTGCAAAGTCTCGGGAAAACCTAGCCTTGATGATTTTATTTATTTGTTTTGGATCACCAGACTCCCCAAAGATGTTCGTAATTATCAAACTGGCCAGTTTACAATTTAATCAAACAGGGACTATTATGTAGGTTTGTGATCTACATCACTCCTTGCTGATCAGTGCAACGGGGCCAATCGACTGCTGAGTCGATTATTTGATAATTTTTTTTTAGTATTTAATATTTATGAATTTAATGGGAGTCTATCCTCATGACCCTTTATCAACCCTAGCCTTCGACCGAGCACTCTGTTACCCCCATTTACGTTACACAATCAAACTCTCACTATTTAAAAATGTAATACTGTTCAAAAATTATTCTACACATGAAATTCAAACGTTTTAAATAATAATACTGACGATGATAGAATCTGACTTTACATAGAATACAAAAATAATATCACAGATAAACATTGCTCTTTAAATTAATATACCATTTCAATTCAATTTAATAAATAATTTTCATTTGACTAGGTTCACTATTATAACTTAAATTCTTTGTATGACATGACCAAATTTAATAAAACATTTTATCCTGAATCGTGACCATGTGCTCTAAGTAGACCAAATGAAACATGAAAATCTCAGACCAAACAAAACATGATTCATAACTTGTAAAACGAGTGGTACATGTGAAAAAATGTGGCAGATTGGCAAGACTATTTTAATACTAAAACACAAATAACACAAACATTTACTTACGTACACATGTCGACACATACACATTCATTCCGACGAAGATTCACGCGTACCGAACATTTAAAAACTGACTCGTGGTAATTTTGTGACTTTTTGTCTGACCGAGCGGAACATCACGACACGGTTTTTTCTGGTGTAGGACTTATTAATTCTTGTTTTTTCGAGCTGGCGTTAAATGATTCAATTGAAAATACCGTCACGACGACCCGCGATTCGCTAGAAACTGACATTTGCTCTGACTTTACATAGAATACAAAAATAATAATATCACAGATAAACATTGCTCTTTAAATTAATATACCATTTCAATTCAATTTAATAAATAATTTTCATTTGACTAGGTTCACTATTATAACTTAAATTCTTTGTATGAGATGACCAAATTTAATAAAACATTTTATCCTGAATCGTGACCATGTGCTCTAAGTAGACCAAATGAAACATGAAAATCTCAGACCAAACAAAACATGATTCATAACTTGTAAAACGAGTGGTACATGTGAAAAAATGTGGCAGATTGGCAAGACTATTTTAATACTAAAACACAAATAACACAAACATTTACTTACGTACACATGTCGACACATACACATTCATTCCGACGAAGATTCACGCGTACCGAACATTTAAAAACTGACTCGTGGTAATTTTGTGACTTTTTGTCTGACCGAGCGGAACATCACGACACGGTTTTTTCTGGTGTAGGACTTATTAATTCTTGTTTTTTCGAGCTGGCGTTAAATGATTCAATTGAAAATACCGTCACGACGACCCGCGATTCGCTAGAAACTGACATTTGCTATCGATATGATGCATGTACGAATTTTCATCACGAACGCGAACAATCAATCCGGCATCTCAACTGTCTCGACTTAATACTAATAAAACACACACCCAAATGCAATTCGGCGAAATTTTGACAATTGCGATCGTTTGATGCACGTACAATTTCCGCCCGAACGCTAATTTCCGAGCTACGAATTAAGATATTAATAAATTCGTCCTACACCAGCGACAAAACGCGACTTCACATGTTGACTACGCGATTACTGAGCCACGAGTGACGAGGACGACGAGACGCTTTGCAGACGACGCGGTTCCCCGGTCTTCGTATCCTTCCGCGTTACGTCATGTTTGACTGACTTGTCCATTGCCTGTCGCGGATTTTAAATCTTTTGATTTAAAATCGGCACAATATGGCGACTTGTTGAATTTGTGTAGCCTATGAATTGAAGAGAAACCTAATAAAGAACAGAAGAAAAATTTAAAAAAAATAACAAGATCGTTCTTGTTTTTTATTTATTATCTCTAAATATAATTTTACACTTTTTTATCACTTATCTATCAACTCCTATGTTGTGATACAGCACCTTCCGGTAGCCTATCTGTCTATCATCAGCAGTAGCTCGTCTGTTGTGTAAACAATAAACATAACCTTAAAAGTTGAATTCAGGCTGTGCAAATTGGTGTTTTGTTTTTATTTTTCAATTATGAATATAAAGAGCCACTGGGGCGGAGCCCGAAAGGGTCTTTGAGATAAGAATATGCTTTAATGTTAATCGGGAATGTGAGCTATCATCATGCCAAATTTCAGCCCAATCCGTCCAGTAGTTTATGCGTGATTGAGCAACAAACACACACACAAACACACACACAAACATACACACAAACATACACACAAACTCACAAACTTTCAGATTTATAATATTAATGTTAATCGGGAATGTGAGCTATCATCATGCCAAATTTCAGCCCAATCCGTCCAGTAGTTTATGCGTGATTGAGCAACAAACACACACACAAACACACACACAAACATACACACAAACATACACACAAACTCACAAACTTTCAGATTTATAATATTAGTAAGATGTAGGCCTAAATTCCATGAAAACATATGTTAGTTAAAAATTAATTTAATTTAAAGTAATTTACTTTCCTAGTGTGCTTACAAATTTGATATTTTCAATAACTTTTTGTTTGGATGATATGAAATGGAAAAAAATAATAATTAAAAACTCTCAACGTTAGTAAAATGGTTAAAACCCGTTTTCAGGCTTAAATTTTCTAAAATAAAGACTGATAAACCAGCGGCTGGGGGGTCGAGCCACCAGACCCCCCGGGCGCTCACTCCCGCCTGTAATTCCTCCCTGGTTGACAGGTCTGATTAAGTGTTTTGAAGTTAGGTTAGATATGTGAGGTATAGTTTAGGTTGTGTAATTTTGAAATATTTATGTAATTTTTCAAATAGTAGGCCTACTTTGAAGTGTTTTTACATAGTGTTTTTAAAGTGTTTATAACCATTATTTTTCACCGCGGATGAATGAGATAAGTTATTAATGAAGATGTCGTCGTTCAAATATAAAACGTTTAGGCGAATAAACAAGGTAGGCTTGGACGGATGACATTTAAGTTACAAGTGGAATAAACTGTGCGGGAAGTAAGCCTGCTGATTGTTTTCAACCACCCGAAAAGCAACTAAGTTAAGTTAAATAACTTAGGCTATCGCAATTAATTTAATTTTACTATAGGCTAAGTCATATGATATCAATAAAAACAATAACAAAAAAATTGATTAAGTTGTTTCTGTTGTTACTTAGCCTAAGTAAGTTAATAAGTTTTAGTTAAGTTAGGCCTATCGTTTGTTTTGTTAAGTTACTAACTGTCATAAAATATATGATGTTTTTGGTTGAATTAACTTATTGATAGTTTAATTTATTATCGATAAGAAAGTAAACAGATAATAACTTAACTCAATTTGATGTTTTTACATTTAACAAAATTACGTTGTAGAAACGATAGGCCCTACAGCCTATTGGACCGAATCCAAATCGAGATATTAATATTTCAACAGATAATAGAACTTATTATCACAGGTTATCTGCGGAACTGTAGGCCTAGGTACCCAAAATACTTATCGCTACTAGGCATATTGAGAAATGAGTTACTGGTTAAAACTTAAAAAATATGAACTTAATGTCAAAGCATATCACAGAAGAGAGTCAAACTGTTATTAGGCCTACATTGTTTGTTATTAGGCCTAATTGTCTAACGGTCTTAACTTAGCCTACATGGTAATCCATCTTGAATTTGATAACTTAGTCTGAAACTCTTATCATATCGAGGTTATTTATTTATTTATTTATTTATTACATACACGGCAAACGCCATTTTACAGGAGAGTTGAGTTGAGATTGATAGTTATAGTGCGATCAATAATTAAATATTTTAACAAATATGAAATACTAATAAATAATATGAAATTACCTATGTACCTATGTACTGTGTTATGTACTTACCTATTCAGTTTTAGACAATACTGAAACTTGTCCTCTTCTCTAATTGGGAATCTAAAGTCATGAATGGTTTTGGTATCTATTGCTTTCCTCGTTAACACGTCTAAAAAATCCTGCCATTTTATTGAAGCCATAAGGTAGCCTAGGACTAGAGGCCTATTTCAATTAGCCTAGTAAAAAATAAGAGGAATAGTATAAAGTAAGAAAGTAGCCTAGGCTAAGTCAACTAACTTAAGATGAAGTAAGCTTTCGCAGTTGGAGCTTGGCTTTAACTACAACCTTTACTCATTATTAACCTTTACTTTACTCACTATTTAATTAGTAGTTAATTGCACAAGCACAACGAAACTAACTAAAACTACTAGCACTAGCCTTTTTAGCTTCTAACCTAACAATAACAATAACAATTTAAAATTGACATGAATCGATCAATCGAATGACGAATACTAGAAAAGATAAGACTCTTAAACAAAACAATTTGAAATTCGAACAACTCTATTCTAGTCTGAAGTCTGAACCTAAAACTGACTGAGTCCGAGTCAGTCTCAGTCTGAAGTCTCTAAACTCAGACGAAACAGGGGACAGGGGCGTCTGGATAGAACCATAGATAAAACCATAGACTAACCAACACAAGGTATGTTTTATCTTTGATAAAACCATAGATAAAACCCCTAAGGGAGTATGTTTTATCTACCGTATGATAAAACATAGTCCTAAAGGAGAATGTTTTATCTATGATAGAACATAGAAGTGCAAGCATTACACTGCGACTAGCAGAATAGCCTGTTTGTAGAAATGCTGAGTAACGCTCTGGTTATTTTTAATTACAGATAATAGAAACATAGATAAAACATAGTCCTTGAGGAGTATGTTTTATCTATGATAGAGCCATAGAACACCCTAGATAATTGGTTCCTTAGTCTATGTTTTAAACGGTTGTGAATAACCTACCTAGTTGTAGTAGCACGGCCACCTCGTGGTTGTAGCGAGTAGCTCACGCGTATTATTAGTCAAGCTAAAGTTTTTAGTACTATTTTAACTATCAATCAATATAGTACTAAAAACTTTGTACTTTCGTAATGCTGAAGATCTTAATAATAAAAACACAAAATTGCGGCCATTTAAAATCCTTAAACTTAAACTACTAAAGAATGTCTGGTTTTATGAAAAAATGACAAGAACACTTTTTAATTAGCATATTTAATTCCCTATCAAACGATGACTTACTTTACTTATTTCCTGTCGCTCCTTAGCGGGAGCATATAGTAGGGAGTAGGGCATCGAGAAGAGCCACGAAGAGCTCGCCATCCCTGTCAAACGATACTAAGTTCAAATAGGTGAATAAAGAACAGCTGAAATGCCCAGATTACTAGTTGTAAATTGAGACAAACCTGACTAGCTTAGCCTTATTCTACCCCATTTTACAACTAAAAATGTGATATTTCACTATTCTTTATTAGATCTCTTTGAACTTGGTATTGTTTGATAGGGAATTGAAAATGCTAAAATAAAAGTGTATTTGCCATTTTTTCATAAAATCAGCCATACTTTAGTAATTTAAATAAAGATTTTAAAAGGCTGCCTGTTTATTAATTTAAAAGAAAATTACATAGGTAATTATATTTTTCATGTAAAAAACCATAGAAATAAGTCAAGTTCTCATTGCGTACCACAACTTTTTGTTGCTAGTTGGTTCAAATTAGCTGTGGTCATGAATTCAAAAAATATAATAGTGCTGCACCCTGTTAGTAAACCTTATAACTTTTTAATGCTATTCAATATATCATTGAACCAACTTGTGCAGTTGAAACGGCTGACAAAATTCTTTAATTCCTATAAATATAACATAACTTGTTACATTCTTGTTAAATGGTGTTTCCGTATGAAATAAATAAATAACGTAACTCATAACGTTGACATGAGAAACTCCAGAGCCACTGGGGTGAAGCCTGAATTAAGGAGATTTGAGATAACAATATGCCTAATGTTAATCGGGAATGTGAGCTATCATCACCCTAAATTTCAGCCCAATCCGACCAGCATTTTTTGCATTTACTTGTCACAAACATCCATGCATACACAGTGCCGGATTTAGGGTACTTGCGGCCCTAGGCCAAATTACTTGAGCGGCCCTCCCCCTGTGGTGAAAATTCCTTGCGATCGCGGAAGTAATAGTGACTATCTCCAATACATCAAGGGGACATCATCATCGACACCCGTGATCCTGGATGAAATCGTGGACATCTCTCCTAAACCAAGTCAAAGCCATCATAGTTATCCGGGACCGCAGTAAAATCGTGAACATCTCCCGCGGGCCGCAATCACGGGGACATCATAATTGAAACTTGCGATCGCGGCAAAGTCGTGTTAAAAAACCTCTCCCGTCGACTGCGATCATGACGACTTCATCATTGTCACCCGCGGCCGTGCCGAAATCTTAAACATCCCGCTCGGGAAGCCATCACGGGAACGTCCTCATTGACACCCCGAGCCGCGGCGAAATCGTTAACAACTCCCGTGAACCACGATCACAGGGACATCATCATCAACACTCACAGCCGCGGTGAAATCATGAACATCTGCCGCGGACCGCAATCACGGGGACATCATCATCGACACTTGCGATCGCGGCAAATTCGTGTTAAAAACATCTCCCGTGGACTGCGATCATGAGGACTTCATCATTGTCACCCACGGCCGTGCCGAAATCGTAAACATCCTCCTCGGTAAGCCACCACGGGGACATCCAAATTGACACCCCCAGCCGCGGCGAAATCGTTAACATGACGCCATTGTATTATTCTTAATGAAATTACAAAATAAAGAATGAAAAAAAACATCTCCCGTGGGCCGCAATCACGGGGATGCATCATCAACACTCACAGCCACGGTGAAATCATGAACATCTGCCGCGGACCGCAATCACGGGGACATTATCATCGACACTTGTGACCGCGGCGAAATCGTGAACATCTCCCGCACACGGGCCGCAATCACGGGGACATCATCATTGACAACTCGATAAAGCATCTAATTCGTGAACGTCTCCTGCGGGCTGTGATCATAAAGAGACATCCCCGTCACCCACGGCCGCGGCTAAATCGTGAACGTCTCCCGCGGGCCGCAATCACGGGACATCATCACAGGCACCCGAGGCCGCGGCAAAATCGTGAACATCTCCCTCGGTCCGTGGAGACATCATTATGGTCACCTGTGATCGCGGCAAACTGGTGGTTTAAAATAAATATTATTTGTTATTAATTTTATCTAAAAAATGTTTTTCCCAATCCTCTGCGGCCCCCTTTTGCTTGCGGCCCTAGGCCGCGGCCTAATCGGCCTAGTGGTAAATCCGGCACTGTGCATACATCCAAACTTTCTCATTTATAATAGTAGGATATCAACTCTAATTGAAACAATGTAACAATTTTTTTACCACTTGTTAACCACCCAGCCTCTTTTTACAAAATTTGCAAGCTTTTATAAGAATTGCTAAGACTTTGTAACTATAAACAGTAGAAACATGATTGAAGTGGCATTTGAAAGAGTATTCAAATGAAAATTTATGCATTTTGGTTTGAGTTTACTTTTTCATATACTATCTCTATAGTAAAAAAAAATCACGCTTTCTGCAACATAAAAAAATAATAAAAGCTACTTAGGATAATGGAACGACCATGCATAACTTTGTCCCTGTATATGTAAAGAGCAAGCATGCAAAGTTTATATGCTGTAGGCTATCTTTATTACATTTTTGAGCCTTAGCATTTTTAGTAAACTAACTCATAGTTATAGTTTTTTCTACTTTTGGAAATCGTGTGTTTTCTGTAATTTTGTATGTTATGTCTTGTCATTGCTGTTAACATATATGTATTGCAACACGATATGCCCATTTTCAACGAAATAAAAGCAAAAAAGCGTATGCTCCTCCTCTACTAATGTAAAAAGTAGCTAAACAGGTGTTGTGTGCAATCCATTAAACTCAATAATGCTTTATTATGCACCGTCAACATCGAATACAGAGATTTGTTATGCAACGTTGACATTGAATACAGAGCTTTATTATGTACCGTCAACAACAAATACATATCTTATGTACCGTCAACATAAAATTTAAAAAATTGGGACTTCCAAATACCAAGTAATGATATTTTTAAAACTACGCTTTTCTTATAAATTAATTTAATGAATTTTTTTCTGGGTGATTAAAAAATTAATAATGATGCATTTTTTTTGGAATAGGTTGTAACAACCATTTAATTTATAACATTGTATAAATTCTGACTCATATTTCTCTTCTATATCTTAATTTTCTTCTTGAGGATGTCATCGTGTGCTTCTTGGGTAAGCGGCTCGTATTTCTTAGTCTTTGAGTTGTAGTAGTACATCTGGTCATGTATGGGTTTACCCTCTGGGTCTTTCATGTCTCCTGGGTTGAATCCTTCATTTTTTAGAACAGATTTCTGTATCTTTTGCGTGACTGGAACAAAATCAATCTGTTTTGTTAACATCAACAGTAATTTGGTTTATAGTCGGGTTTCTTGTGACAATTTTTTCTACCTATGCTGCATCACTAAATATAGTCATTTGTTCAAGAAAGTTAATTATAATCAAATTATTGGTTTAAATTTTTCCAATCAAATGTTTTTATTGATTTACATTGTTTTAATAAAATAAAAAAAAAAATAAAGTTGTTATATCATAAGCTGAACCATTGCACCATGTCAACCAGGCCAAAAAATTAACGGGATTTGGAAAATCTTTAACTTGAAATTGTTACTTAACATGCATTTATATTACAAAGCTAACATCTCTTATACCTTTACTATCCTCATGTATAATATTCTGAAGACAGATTTCAAGTCGTGTCAAGGTCAGCCTTTTTACACCAGAGAGTGTACAGTACCAGTTTTAGCAAAAGCTTTTAGTTTAAATTATTTTGATGTTTTTAACAGTTTTTCAGTGTTTACAACTCAGAAATTTTCTAAATAAGGGTGGATCCACTCTTAGAGGAGGTATTAGTAATCACTTTATGAAATCAAGATAAATTAAATCAACTTATTCGAGACTACACAAAAATGCAATGAGAAATTTTATTTTCCACAAGTCAAAAACTTTGAAAACTGTTTTATAGCTGCATTTAAAACGTCATCCTCAAACATAGATTAGTGCTACAAAGTTTGTACAGAGAGCAGCAAACTAAAAATGGCATCATAGTGTCCAACTTCACTCACAGCTATTTCTGCGTATGTGCAAGGCGATCGCAGCATTGCGGCAGAAAAAAATGGAAACGGAACTTACTTTTTGGAGCCTATATCAACCTCGTGTAAATAGAATGTTTCACCTAAAGTTTTACTGCTAATCTTCTTAGTTGGCTAATTGACTCACCGGTCAGGGGAAATTTGTCTGTGAATCTAATAAACACAGGAATCCATGGACCACCCAACTTTTTATCAACCAACTCCTCAAACTGAGGCATTTTAAAGTGTGCTACATTCATTTCAAAACATGCCATTCCTGCTCTGCCTTCCTGATCTTTTACCTGCAATCAGTTAAATTCATATTTTACTTTTTGTATTAACAAAGGTATTTGTAGTTGGCAGTACAATGTTTTTCACCCAGTCGTAGCGAACCTGTTTAATTTACAACATCGTCCCAAAACATATTTAATTTTCTTCCATTTAGGCCCAATAAAACATGGAAATTATAAATAAAAGTTAAACTTATTATATGTAGTCGACGGTTTATTTATGTTTTTACTTGACTATGAGATTACTTTTATTAACACGTTCGCTACGGACGGCTCCGATCGGAGTCATTCCGTACTGGCACAGCGCTCGTACAAATCTGGTCTAAGTCACTGTGCAGTGTTATACAAGTTGGTCTAAAGTGACGTTCGCATTTATCGGGGATCAACTAAACTATGTCAGCATGTTGTGCTGGTCCTATACTTTAATTTGGTGTATGTTGGGTTTAGGTTGGTAGTAAAATTTCCCGTAAATCCCGTTTTTAGGTATTTCCTCTCTTCAAGACACATTACAAAGACACTGGCTACGGATCCGGGCAGTGCTGCTATCTGTGAGTTTTTCAGTGAACTACGTCCACTCTCGGGGTAACACGGAACCATTACCGCAGCTTTTTTGCCGCTGTTAAAACTAAAATATTTTAATGCCTATTGTGTTCACTGATTCACTGGTGCGCCAAGGCTGCGTCACATTTCCAACCGCCCTGCCAATAGGATTTTTGCAGCGAACGTGTTAACTTTCAAAAGTAAACACAATATAACAAGAACAAGCCTTATCATTGTTATTGTGGATGCGTGCAACTAACTCTTGGCCCCACAGCGTGTCACACTAATCGTGGGCCTGTGTATGGTACATCAGGTATCAAATTTTTGTCATTAAAAAAGAACGTAATTGCATGAGCTACTAACCAGTCTACTATTGGTTACGTGTGTTCGACAAATCAATAAGTGACATCAGTACATTCTGTCGGAGGCTCAATTTAACAACATTAATTTTTATTTGAAATCTGGCTACAACTAACACATAGGACATAGGAATACAATGCCTTGTTCTATCTATAGTGGAAGGTAAATTGTCTTTGGAATATGTCTAATTGTAGGGATTCAGCTGGTCTGAGTAGTGTGCAGAATACTCCTGTCCTGGAAGCCTGCACGTTCAAATGCAGTCAATCGTCAATGACCTTTACCGATGTGACAAAATTCAGAACAGAACAGACTAGGTTCAGAACAGAACCCACGTGATCAGGCCCACCTATAAAGTAAAATTAGATATGTCTATTCAGGGCCTTATCCAGCTTTGGCAGGCCTCAAGTAAAGATATTAGGCTGGGCCCCCTTGAAGTATATGTTTTGCGGGGCCCACCTGGGTCCTTTTGGGGCCCGGGCCCCAGAAAAATGTCTGGAAAAACCGGTCTGATAACGGCCCTGTGTCTAATAGGGGTGTAATGTCTCTGTTTTCAAGATCTCCCTTTTTGATAATTTTTTAGCTATACTAACCTCTACTCCATAAACAGAAACTACGTGGCTACCCTGATAGCCCATTCCTTTGATTATTACATCTTCTACTTGGGATGCAGCAATGTTTTCACCTTTCCATCTAAAATTATGATTACACACAATATAGTTTTTGTAAGTATAAGCTTTTAGACTGTGTTAAAATTATGAAAATTATGTTCTTAACACGTTCGCTAATACAATAGTACAAAATTTTTCATTCACATGGACCAGCGATGCACATATGCGACGGCCAGTTTCCACCCATAGACTAGTCACATTAAAATAGACTGCCGTCGCATATTTGCGTCAGGTTTCTAATGTTATTAAAATGCTTATATCTTTGTAACGGTCTATTTGAAGGCACTGAATTCCCTGCAGTGGTCTACAGAGATGTCTGGCGCAACACTGCTTCGCTTGGTCTGTGGATATGATAATTGGTGACGTCATATGATAGTTGGAAAAACTAGTCTTTACTTTTCTGCATCACTGTATGTACGGTATGTATGAAGTATGTATGCTGCATTATCCTATGTAGCTTTTATATTTGTTCAGTTATAAACTGTTCTTGAATAATCTGTTTTTTTTTACTTACTTTCATCTCAAAACACAACAAAAATGAACTGTCGCATATATGCAACGTTTGGTTACATTACAAAAGGTTATTAAAAAAAAAAAAAAACAAGAATAAATTATTTACAAACTTGATTTAGCATATTAAGATGTAAATTTTGTTTTACAGGTTTTTGCCCATGGTCTGTGTGTACTGTTATCCAAGTGACAGCCGGTCTATGTGTAAGATTCAAATGTATACCTCGGTCTGTGGCAATGACCGCGGTGTCGCATATATGTGACGCTCAGTAGCGAACGTGTTAAATAAATTATCTACTTTCATTTTTTTGTGCTCTCATGGTCCACACTATTGGTGCTCTATTGGTGGGTCTATTTGGTGGTTTTTTTGGTGCTCTATTGGTCCACTACATGTATTGGTTGTTTTTAGTGATGGTACAAACAGAACAGGTAAGGTTATTTGCCCATGCACTGATCTTGGGCGGTAAAAAATCAACCAATATTTTACTGGTAGTGCAAAAAGCTGGCTTCCAGACATATCCGTTTATTACCGTTCGAATAATCACTTCTTCAGTTGTGAACCCACAACATCCAACAAAACCCACCTAAACATATATAAATTAGGTAAACATAAATTAATTGTTTATTCAAATATTTGACATTCTTATGATATATTGTCACAATTCCTTGGGTTATTCATCTATATATATAATGTTTATATGAAATTTACATTCTGCTTATAAAATTCACATTTTGCTATGTGTCTAGTTGAATGATTATGAAATGATTAGATCAAGTTTTATACAGTTCTTACAATTTAATTTAATCGATGATGCTCAAACTTGTATACCAGAGATGCAGATTACAAAACTTTAAGGAAGGCCCCATTGTTAATTTACATTTACAGCTGATATATTTATGAATGTTTTTATGTTTGTTTAGTCAAATGTTCACATTATGATATGATTAATTTGAGTTTTATATGATGGCATCGACTGCATTTAATACATATGTTTATGAACTAGAATGATTTAATGTACTCTAGTGCGTTGATTTACCAAATTAAAATTAAGTACCTGAAAGTATCTCCCAAACGATCCACAAAGTAGTAATAACCAAAAATATCTCTTTCAAGAACGTCACCTGGTAAACAAAAGAAACGTGTTATCATTTGATTCTTTGTCATAATGCAGCAAAAGCAGTTATTTCTTCATGCGTTGTGGGCCTAAAGTAGAATTTTTTTATCTCTAGGGAGTAAAATCTACTGTTGTGAACAGTGGAAAAATGTTGAGTTGACTGTAGCAAATCACATGGATCAAAATTATTTATCGATTGATTTATTAAGTAAGGTTACAGCTTATTGTTGCATTCTTGTCAATAGTTCAACATATCGATGGTATAATGTACACTAACGGAATCATAATAGACAAAATGATTTATCATTTACGAAACAGCTTCTTATTTACATTAGCAGAATTGAAAACAAGCTGAAAGTTGTTTTGAGAGGTTCTTTACATGAGAAGTATATTTGAGTTTTTTAGCTTAGTTTGTTGATTAAAGATGCAATAAGACGCAAAATATAGTTCATCACACTTGCAAAAAGTGTCTTTTCAACCCTCGCTAATTTTCTACATCATTACTTGCCTGAGTTGAAATACAAGTCGCCCTTTTCAAAAACATCCGGAATCAATTTTTTTTTCGTCTCTTCTTCACTTGCATAGCCTTTGATTTTGGAAAATCCTGTTTTGCTTTTACCAACCAACAACCCCTGTCTCGCTGAAACAATGCATCGAAGTGGTTTTGTGTAATAACCAAACATAAAGTGTAGGAATAAAATAAAAATGTTCAATATCCCAAACATTGAAACATCACACACTTAATTTGAAAGTGGACCTCTTTACATGGGATTAAAACTCCACAATCATCCACCTAATTCAATAATAATTTATTAGTGTAATAAAAATTATGACTATAAAGCGGGTTGAGACAGGATTTTTTCAACTTTAAAAAATTTTTTTTTTTTTTTAGCAAATTTCCCTATAGGGAAGTAGCTATTACCGTACGTCTCATGGTAAGACTTAGGCCCGGGACCGATTTTCTTTTTCATTTTGATGTCCCTAGAGGCCAAAAACACCATTCGTTCAAATTTTTATATATGTATATATATATATATATATATATGTGTGTGTCCGTGAACACGATAACTTGAGTAATTTTTATCCGATTTTGATGAAATTTGGTTTGAAGGTGTAAGGCGGGATAAACTTGAATGAGTTCGCGATCCAGCATGATCGGACCATGGGAACAGGGTTTTATGGGGGTTTTATGGGGTAAAAATAGGTTTTTCTCACTTTTGACCCTCAAAACACAAAATTTCCCAATTTTTCTCTAAACCTTCTTAAAGAGCTTAAAAAAACAAACAATTCAGTATATCAAAGTGTTTTTGTACGGTTATTGGTTACGGAGAAAACTAAAAAAATTGTAAATTTAAAATTCCCATGTTATTCTTATGGAGAGTATTGTAAAATGTTGTAGTTTGCTTGTTTATGGATATCTTTTGATAAAACTTGGCAAATATATTCATTTTATACTAAGCAATAATTATTTTACTTAAAACACACACTTTATTAGTTTCCTTGTAGCAGCAAACCTAGGTACTCGTTAAACCTATTGTTATTTAAATAGATCGATTGAAAATCAATTCAAACAAATGGAAATTCGCTTAGACAGCAGGTTTGCTGTGGCGGGGGTATTTTTTTGGTCGTGTGGATACACTGGGGACACATAAACACAAGCTTGTGCAGCTTTGTTGTAAAAGAACTATATATCAGGTATCTCGAAATTAATTAGGGGGGGGGGGGGTGAAAATTTACATACACCAAAAACTTTCTTTTTTAATCATCTAAACATTCCCTGAATTTTATAATTGTATCTCTATTAATAAAGAATAACAGGGTGTTGCGACTTTGGAGACAAACTATAATGTGAGTTATCAACATTAACAAAATATTAACAGTTATTCTTCATGCAGGTGACATTAAATTTTGGACCAGAATAGAAATGCAGTTTTATAAGTCTGTGTTCTATTCTATATATGATTATGTGAGATAAAGGCTACTTACTTGCTCTAATGCAGAGGCCATCTGTCCCACGTTTAGGTTCAGAAGTGTCGGTGTCGTACTCTATGAGCTCAATCGGGTAGAGAGACGTGGCATACCAAGGCAAAAAGCCCACAGCCCCGACCTTGTTGTTGATGTTTACTGTAAACAATTCAGACCTGTTATTATTTGAGGTTTAACGGTCTCCCTAAATGGAGTTTATTCTCATGTATCCTACTAGAAAAATTGTAGAAAGGTAAAAGTGGTTTTCTGATTTAAGTTGAGGAAAGTTATACTGTAACTTTTTAGCTTGTGAATCAAGTTTTTCTTTCTATTCTGAATAGTTACACTTTTGAAAACACACCAATGTTGTTATAGTAGTTTGCACAACAATTGCGTAAAGATAGTGTTTACACGACGTGTGAGACGAGTAGAAAATTTAAGATACGATTCTCAAAAGCTTCTACGAGTGTCGTTAACACTATCTACGCGAGTTGCACACTACTTTATCAACGACAGTGTTTTAAATACTAAAAATCACTACTCATAGTCATAAGTCATACCTTCTAAGAGAGGTTATGATTTAGTTTATAACCTCTCATTGCCACTGACAGAGTGATGCAACGAAACATTGTACCAAACACTAATTGCACCACTCAACAATTAAATTGGCCTGAACAGCTGATTAATTGAAGTTCGAATCAAATAAATTTTACTTCTTCTCTCTAAATCCTTGAACAACATCGGTCTGTTATCCGTGTTGTTATGAGTAAAACTATGCTGTTATGAAGGTAAACAATGCTGTTATGTGAAACTTTTCAATTCTAAGAACTAAACTGAAACAACTACTTTAAAAAACGGTCGTAGGTAAAATACTTTTCAAATCTGCCCTCATACATTTCACATTATCCAATGTTGAAGTTTAGATAAAAACGTTTCTTTCCATAAAACATAATGTTTTGAACACTAACCTAAGTTGGCATTTCCTTCTGTTGAGCCGTAGAACTCCCCGATTTGTCTGACGTTGAATCGGTCTTGGAAGCCTTTCCAAATTTTTCTTCGCATCCCGTTGCCAAACATCAACCGAATGTTGTGGTCTCTGTCTGCAGGTGATTTATCTGTGGCCCACACAAAGGAGCAAATCTCGCCAATGTATTGCCCCACCTAACACACAGTCGCTGTTAGTAGCTTCTGCTAAACTTCACTATAGGGGTAACAAAATCTACTATGCTATATCCTATCTCGATATAGTTCAAATGGAAAATCAGGATAGCTTCTTGTTTCAAGATAAAGTCTTGGACAAGTTTTTTTAATGACGTCTTAAACACTCTTCTTAAATTGTGTTTGCATTTTTTTTTAACTAAAGAAAAACTTACGATAATGTTAGTTGGGTAGCCAGGGGTGCCCATCCCCCCCTAGACTCATGACGCACCCCCCCTGCAATTGAGCAACAGCCCTCCCCCCCATAAATGATGTACACAACAAATTAGAAACATTATTCCCCTCGCCCAGCACTATTTGTAAAACTATAAAAGAAGTTTTATAATTTTTTTAAGATATTTAAAATTCAAACCCAGTTAATCTATATCAATAAAGTTATAGTTTTGTCTGAACATTGCTCAGAATTATACATATTTTGGGTTATTTATGTTTTATACATTGAAGAAGTTGAAACATGTCTTATCTCAATTTATGTCCGTCTGTCACGGCCCAGAAGGCATTTTATGCAGCCTACTCATGGCATACTCTAAAGAAAACTAGAGTACCGATTATGATTCTAATGGTTTAATTGTATCCACAGGATTGGCGAGAGAGTCCTTATAGCCATTAAAATATGGCCTCACTATTTTGGAAATAAAATAACGGACGATCAAAAACACAATTTTGTGTGATTTTTCTAGTTTATTTTCTCCATGTTTACTACATACGTCATTAATTTATGAAATACTAATAATCTGTTAAGAGAACACGTCATGTATGAAATTATGAACAGCTGTTTTGATAAAGATTCCTTTTCCTAGCTGTCACTGATATGTTTACATAAATGTTCTTTAAGAATACTGTGTAGGCCCTAACCATTTCCGATCACGTTTGTAAGCAAATCCAAAACCAAGTGAGATTAATAACCGTGTGGCTTTGGCTTACATAACGGGTTTGATTTATCACGAGTACTAATATGTAACTGTAAATTAAATTAAATAACTAGCCATCATCCAGGTCGGGAACCGGAGATTCTGTTTGTATCAAGTTGTACTTGAATTTTGATTACAGGGAAAAGACCGTGAATCAGTGTAGTACAGGACTGGAAAACTTATCTTTCTATATAAATAAAATTAGAGTTTTATTAATCACCTCAATTTAAGGAATTTTTTTATTGCCAGAATATCCATATAGCGTTCGTAACCTGCTTAACGAATTGTCAGCGTCTTTCTCGATATTACGATCCCCTCTCCCTCCCTTTAGAAACATCACAGCTCCTTTGATGAAAATGAAATGGAAACAAGGCTTGCGCCAACAATCGTCTGCTCCGTACACTTCTGTCTGCTGTGCGCTATGTTACAACAGATTTCAGATACAACAGCTGGGGAATGATGACGATATGATAACCATGGTAACTTTAGTAAGGCTGTGATTGGACAATGAGTAGGCCTAAATATGGCGACTTGTTGAATTCGTGTATGAATTGAAGAGAAACCTATTAAAGAACAGAAGAACAAAAAGAAAGAGAATAACAAGATTGTTCTCGTTACATTCTTTTTTAAGAGTGTTTTAATTATCTCTAAATATAATTTTACACTTGTTTATTACTTTATCAATTCCTATGCTGTGATACAGCACCTATCGGTAGCCTATCTGTCTATCATGAGCAGTACCTTATAACACTTTCTAAAGGTTCCTTTAATATTTACGTTATTTATAGCAATGCAATGTTTGGCTAGTGATTAGTTGAGTTTGAGTTAGCTACAATTTTAAACGTTGCCGTTTGTACAACTGAACCAAGATAAATGATTTGAAATTTACAATAATAATGATTGTGCAATATTGAATTTCGATTATAAAAATGTAAATCGTGACGTTAATGGCTGTTTACAGCGTTTTAATGAGTTTGTCATCTGTTTTTATACTATATTGGATTAACCGTATTTTTCATTCCTCCCCCCCTCTCCCTATTAACTCAGGTAATCGAGTATCTACACAATAGTGTATAAAGTATTGTAGCCTATGCTACTTCCTACTTGATTGTATTGTAACGAGCTTTATGTCAACAAAGCGTTCTCCTGTGCTAAGTCGCGGTGTAGCTGGACGTGTCTGTACCACGCGTTATCTTTTATCTATCACAGCAGTTGAGCCATCCCGTGCGCTCCCTCTTAGATCTCATGTCTTGCTAATCTGAAATAATAACTTTCTACACGAATCCTAAACTATCCTAAAATCCTATTTTAACTAATTTAATTAAATAATATAACTATTGTCATTAATTAATCCACTTTCTATCTGGCGACTTCGTAATATATTTTGGATTGTCGTCACGTTGAACACTGTTGCAATTAACTTTAGCCCCCCCCCCCCATTTGAATTTTTTGAGCCCCCCCCAAGAATTTCAATGACGCAGTCTGCGTCACGGCCCCCCCTTGTGGGCACCCCTGGGGTAGCTTATTGGATATAGTGCTTGGCTGCTCGCCCAGTGTTCAGTAGGTTGCAGGTGCAATTATAAAAAAACAGAGGCTTTTTGAAACTTTCTTTAGGTTTGAAACTGAAGCTAAGGTGTCTTTAACAACTCCCCTACCACAACCCAACACAACAACACCTCCACCCAAAACAGAGTGAGGACAAAGTGTGGAAACGGGTCAGGGAAGTTTAAAAATGACAATTTCAGAAGAAATTGTGTTTTGAGTGGATACCCAGACTCACAGAAAACCCCAAAGGAATGAGGTTAGCGAGTGTTTTAGATTTGATGAGTTACAAGGAAGAAGGGGATGTAATATTAAGTCAAACCTTTACTGGGGATAAAACATGGATATCTCTATCACCAATAATTCAAGCAACAACCTCCCCGGTTGATTTCAAAGCAAAGCCCGTCTTCTGAAATGGACATTTTCATGGCCTTTTTAAACTTCCTGACTCATTTCCGCTCTCTTTACCCTCACTCATTGCATTAGGGCCATAAACCATATATTTAAAACGGATTATTCGCTAAAATGTTGAATATTTTTTTGGAAAACCACTTTTGGTTATTCATAACACAATTATGTGAAATAAAATTTACAAATAACCTAGTTTATACAGTATTCTGTATTCACATTAGAAAATTTCAATAACTACTTTTGTAATTTTTACACTTCAGAACTTAATCGTAAAGTAATTCAAACAGTAAAATTAGCTATAAAGTAAAAGCTTGCAACATCTTACAACAAATAACTTAACTTACCGTTGCTCCATATTTTTTGCAGTCCGGAAAATAACCTCTTGCGCTGAACTTTTCCTTGATTATCATCGTGAGGCCGTACAGCAACATCTGACCTGTTCCGATCAGACCTCCAGACGCGTGGAACAGCTGCATTGGGTTGTACAAAACATCTTTGGACTTGATTCCAAGGAAGTAGTGGGTTCCGGTAGCCATACGTATGAATCTGTATCATATTGTTTTACCATTTACAAAAAACATTTATTACTGACCAGTTAATCGTTCGGTTATTTTTGATGTTGCAACAAACACGTGTTGCTTTTTTAGAAGTATTTTAGAACAAGAATACAAGATGAATGTAGAATGGAATAATTTGTAATGGCTTTGTTACTGACAAAGATCAGCTGTTTTATCCAGAATTACTTTTTGAAAGCCGAATGACCAAGGATAGCTGGGCACAGTTTTGAACCTTAAAAGAAACTGACTTTTCTCAGGGTCGAACTGATGACCTTTTTTCGGGTGAGCGCTATAAACACTTAGCTACCCAGCAAAATATAGGAAAATTCAAACAAAATCCTCTTCATAACGCTGTAATTCAATATAAAATACAACATTAACATAGTTAAACATTAAAAAAACTTATGATTATTACTTTTTTTAATAACACAGCCAAGTTTAAAGCCGGGTTTTCCTTGGTGCGGAAGCGGAGGGTGGAGAGAGGAACGCGGAGAGTGGACTCCTATTGTCTTAGGTAATTTAAATAAATAAATAAAATAAATATTACTTTATTATCACATACACAAGAATACATTCCAAGTTTCTAGCGCAGCTAAAGGAACAGGTGACATTGTCAAATATGCATAATATAAAACAAAGAAAACATTCCATAAATTAAAATAGTATTAAAGTAAAATTAACTATAAACTGAGTTATTGCCCAAAGTGTGCACCAATATTATTGTCATCCAGGAATTCAGATACAGAATAGAAGGTTTTTTCTATTAAATACAGTTTAAGGTCATTTTTGAATTTAGTTATGCAGCTAATATTTTTGAATCTATTTGGTAGACTATTGTAAAGCCTCAAACTCATAGTAGGGTGACTTTTCGTACAGACAAAGCCGATGCCTTGGATACTGCAGGTTATCTTTGAAACGAGTGGGGTAGTGATGAACAAACTGCTTACTTACATATTTGTGAAAATTACTTTTTAAATTTACTAGAGTTTTGAAAATAAACAGTGAAGGCATTGTCAAGACTTCATATTTTTTAAATAGTGGCTTACATGATGTTCTTTTAGATTTAAAAGATAGAATTTTTAAAAAACGTTTTTGGATTTTAAATATTTTAATTGCGTGGGAAGTGGAACCCCACAGCTCAATACCATATTGCAAATGAGAGAAAAACATGGCATAATATACCATAATTTTAGTTTTGGTATCTAGCCTATTATATTTCGCAACACATAAATTTGGAAACAAGCAGTGTTTAATTTTTTTGTAAGCATATCAATGTGCAGTTTCCATGACAATTTTTCACCAATATGTAAGCCAAGAAATTTTGTACTTTTTACAAAGGATAAAATATCACCATTAAAAATCAAATCAAATGTATAAAATATTTTTATTTTGAGCGGGCTGAAATTTTAAAATTTGTTTTTTTGAACTATTAAGTTTCAATCCATTCACATTAAACCAGTCGGATAGCTCTAGAAGTGAACGATCTAGCTCTACTTTCAAATTATTAGAATTGTTAGCCTTAACTATTGCTGTAGTGTCATCAGCATATTGAATGAGGTTAGAAGAAACGTTTTTGGGCAAATCATTTACAAATATCAAAAATAATAAAGGTCCTAGAATTGACCCCTGAGGGACACCATATTTGATTTTACCCCATATTGAGGAAAATGTTTTACCATTTTTCTTTATAATTGTTCTTTGATACCTATTGCTTAAGTAAGATTGTATCCAAGACAATGACTTAGCAGAAAATTTGTAGTATCTAAGTTTTGTCAACAGAATATCATAATCTACATAATCAAAGGCCTTGGAAAGGTCACAGAATACAGCCGCTGTACTCTGCGACCCATCCAAACCCTCCGACACCTGATTTATGAAATCAGAGATAGCAGATATTGTGCTCATTCCAGATCTAAAACCAAACTGCTGGTCAGCAAATAGTTTGCTAGCATCAAAAAAAGAATAAATTTGATTGTATGCAATTTTTTCAAAGATTTTAGAGATGTTGGGTAGTATTGATATTGGGCGGTAGTTATCGGGGTTTTCCACTAATCCCTTTTTGAAAAGAGGCTTCAATTCAGCATATTTCATTTGATAAGGAAATATGCCTTCATAAAAACCTTTATTTATAATTATGCAAATAGGACGTGCAATGAAAGTAGCTACCCTTTTGATAATAACCATGGGAATTTCATCCCATCCAACAGATTTTTTATTTTTTTGGTGTTTGATCGTTTTCTTTACTTCTGAAATGCTTACAGGGTGGAAATTAAAGTAATTTTTCTGATTATTTTTAAAATTATTGACAAATTCTTCTGCAGTATCGACATATGGCCCGCATCTATTGTCTCCCAAAACATTTAAATATTTGTTATTGAAATAGTCTGACCATCATTCAGGCGCTTCTTTCCAACTTGAATGTCAGGAAAATCTAAGGATTTATTACCAGAAGATCCGAGCTCAGACTTAAAAACATTCCACGCAGCTTGACTTTTATTATCAGCAGTTGATATTACTTCACAATTATACATCTTCCTAGCTTTATCACATACAGTCTTAAAAATTTTCCTGTAATTCTTATAGTAAGCTAGAAAATTCTTATCTTTGCTGGTTTTTGCAAGTTTGCTCAGTTGCCTTTTAGTTCTGCTTGATACCCTTATACCTTCCATCACCCAGGTTTTATTATTATTGTTTTTACGTTGCTTGTTTGAAAAAAATTTTAGTGGAAAGCAATGATTGAAATGCATTATAAACTGATTAAAGAAATTATTAAAATTAGTCTGTGCATAATATTTATTTGAAATATCCCAATTTGTTTGAGAGATAACCTCACAAAATTTTGAGATGTTATTTTTAGTAAACAACCTTTTCTTTGAGCAGGGTTTTATGTCAGATGAAGAATAATTTGTAAGTTCAATAAAAAGAGCCCTGTGATCAGAGAAACCTAATTCAAGATTGAGTTTAGACCTCCGAATTTCTGGATGAAATAAAGAAATGTCATTTGTCATAATGTTATCTATGCAGGTGCTCGAGTTTTCAGTTATTCGGGTGGGAGAGCAAAAATTTACATTAAAACCGTACATACTTATTAAGTTTAAAAACATGCTTTTGTTATTTAATGAGTTAGTTGTAGGCAAAATATCCACATTATAATCCCCTGCAATATAGATGTGGTGAGACTTCAGATACTTTTTTAATTTATTCAAAAGTAGTTCCAACTTACTAATAAAAGATTTAAAATTTGCTTCATTTCTGTAAATGGAAATTACAATTGTATTTATATGGGGAATTTCAATGCCACAGGCCTCAAAGGTACCTTCCTCATTGTAAAGACACAGATCACCTAGTTCCTTAAAATTATAGTTTTGATTGACTAGTATGCAAGAACCACCTCTCGATACATTTTTCCTACAAAAATAAGCCCCTATCTTATAGTTTTTAAGGCATGATAGTACATTTTATGTTATCTTCCAATAAACAATGTTCATTAATACAAAGTATATCTACATTTGAACCCTCTAAAAACGTATATAATTCATGATATTTATTGAGAAACCCCCCCTGTATGTTTAAGTGCATGAGCATTACATTATTTTCACTTAAGTTATTACTAATATATTTACAAGATTCCCATTTTACACACTTTTTACCAATATCATAATGAGACCCACCACATGCTATACAATAATTATCAAGATTACAATTACTGAGATTACTTCAAACATATGCTTGACCATCAGTTTTGTCTAACATTTCTGCACACACTAAGGGTTGGCTATCTATCTATAAAAACTATTAGAATTAGGACTAGCAACTTCCATCATTTGTGTATTACAAGTAATATTATGATCTGCATTAGCACCAACACTAACACTTTTACTCTGCTCTGAACACACTTCACTTCCGGTGTTGTTGTTGGTGGAGGTGATGGTGGTGATAGTGGCGGAGACGGCAGCAGTGGTGGCGGTGGTGATAGTGGTGGAGGTGGCAGTAGTGGTGGTGGTGGTGTGCAGTTGGGGAGGCATTGGTCCGAGAGGAGGGAAGGCTGTCACGCTAGTTACGTCCGGTACAGTAGGCTGTGAGATGTCCACCAATCTCTCAGAAACTAGATGCTGAGACTCCGCTGTGCTGCATATACGTTGGTACGTGGCTGGTTTGTTGAAATTGCCAACTTCTTTTTTCAGCACTCTGAGGAAAGCTGGGTGGGACAGCTCATGCCTTATTTGTCCTGGCCTTTTAAAGATCTCTTGACATGCTATAAGTTTTATTGTAGCACCAGTGCTGTTCTGAAATTTAGGGGACATATTAAGGTCTTCAGATCTCTTGATTTAAAATGGTCTGTGAGCTGCTTAAAAGCTTTGTCATAATCTCCTTGTATTGGTTTTCCAAAATAGTTTTGCTTCGTGACTAAGCTATACACTGTTGCTCCAGTCTGTGAAGATTGACATGTCAAGCTGTCGTCAACGTAGTCCTTTTGTTCAGGCCTTCCAAAGGCTATTCTAAAAGCAACAGCAACTCCCGCACTCATATGCTTTTTGCTACCAAGATCAGCAGAGATGGAATGTGCAAAGGCCACTGTAGGATCTGCCTTATAATGTTCAATTACACGACTCATGTCAGCATCTTCAATCTCCATACTATTTTCTTTAAAAAATAGACGTTCGCTATTATTCCCAGGTGGTTTTGGTAGTATGATTTCTTTTATCATAGATGCAATTTTTCTCTTCCCAAACTTGTTGAAATGGAGACCATGTCTGGTATAAAGACTGCGGCACAGGTCATCCAGAGGTAAATAATGGGCATGCACGTGTTTCTCTACTAGCTGTACTATTTCCATGTTTAAATAGGTTATTTTATTGTTGATAGATGGTGCTTTGTACTTGTATGGAATGCCAGCAATAATCACATTTGTATGTGTTGTTGAGTTTAACACCTTGCTCAATGAGTTAATGAGATGTTCATGATCAGAATCAAGTTTGTCATTAGATCTCCCCATTATAACCACATAGTCTTTTTTTCCAAAATCTCCAAATTTTAATGTTACTGTTTTCCTAGAAGAAGCAGAGCGGAACGCCATGTAAATCGTTTTCCGCTCTCTGCTCTCCGCTCTCCACCCTCCGCGTCTAGGAAAACCCGGCTTAACAGGTTAAGACTAATAAACTTGTGACATACCAACTCATAGACTTAAAGGCTATTTGTAACTCTTTTTGAATGCATTTTAATGTGTTCTTTCAATTACCATAAGCAATATGTGCTGTTTTTATGTCGTGTGTGTATGGTCGGTAAACAAAAAAGTAACATTTTTTTAAATTCCTAATTGTAAGTGAAGATTTTGTTTGTTACACTGGATATTTGATGTGGACGCAGGGGTAGATAAAATATTCATACACATTTCGAAATCCTCATCATGAATAAAAATGCCTATCACAAGTACTAACCACTACAAACTCAATAGTTAAAACAGAAATAAGTTAAATGGATTATGTGGCTGGAACAAACTTAATGGATATATTTAAATACCTGAAATTAGAGCGATCAGAATGTAAACTGAATGCACTGAGAGGATATCAATTTCTTTTAAATGTATTATTGCATGTTGATAACCGTAACGTCAAAATACCCCCGCCGCAGCAAACCTGCAGACTAAGCGAATTTACACTGAAATGTCTACTTAAAAATATAACATTTATTCTTGATTTAAATAGAATTAGTTTAACAAGTACTTAGGTTTGCTGCATCAAGGAGGGTAAAACTGTTTTTTTTTTTGTAAAATGTGAATAGTTAGTAAAAAATAAAAACATTTTCCAAATTTGATCAAAATATGTTCACAAACAAGCAAACTACAACAGTTTACTTATTCTCCATAAGAATAACATGGGAATTTTAAATTTACAATTTTTTGGAATTTTCTCCGTAACCATTAGGCGCATAATAACGCTTCAAAATACTAAATTATTTGTTTTTTTAAGCTCTACAAAATGGTTTGGAAAGAAATTGCTAAATTTTATGTTTTTTGGGTCAAAAATGGGAAAAACCTATTTTTACCCCATAAAACCCCCCGTAAACCCCCGTTCCCATGGTCCGATCATGCTGGATCGCGAACTCGTTCGAATAAACGTACGTTTACACGTTTTTACCAAATTTCATCAAAATCGGATCATTTTTGCTCGAGTTATCGTGCTGACGGACACATATATATATATATATATATATATAAATATATATATATATGAATTTGAACGGATGGTGTTTTTGGCCTCTAGGGACCTCAAAACGAAAAAAAAAATCGGTCCCGCGTCCAGGTCTTACCATGAGTACTACGGTAATAGCTTATTCCCTATATGGGAAATTCGCTAAAAGATGTAATACAAGCTTATGATATTTTCAGGAATTTAAGAAGAACATTTATAAAATATAGTACTCTATATTAAATAATGGAGAGCAAGCTGGCCTAGTGGTTAGAGCGCAAGACTTCGGTCCCCGAGGTTCCGGGTTCAAATCCCGCCAAATCACCAATGGATTTGATCTAAGTGATAATGCCGCAGCCCCTAGGTCTAGCCTAAAGTAAAGTGAAAAACAATCCTAGGCTCGTGCCTAGCGTCTTAGGACAAAAAGATTTTGCAATAATTAAAGGGATTAAATTTCCGGTTTCTATAGATGAGTTTGTGTAATTTTAAGGGAATATTAAAACTTTTCCCTGCCAAATATATATACAAACATCCTCTTTTCTATAAGTATAAAAGAGGATGTTTGTATATACATATATTTGTTTGGCAGTGATAAACTCAGACACCACTGAACCGATTGCCACGAAACTTGGAACATACGTGTAGAATTTCATGGAATAGGTTTATACACCATCAATTTCGTGATCCGTCCAATCGGCTCCGCCCCAGTGGCTCTGGAGTTTCCCATGTTAACCTTATGAGAAATGGAATTAATGAATCTTAACAGCTTTTTCAATTAAACAAGTTGGTTCTGTTCTATGATGTTCAATAGCATTAAAGTTAAAAGGATTACCAACAGGGTGCAGCACTATTATTTCTTTTACATTTATGACAACAGCTAATTTGCAACCAAAAGGTGAGTGAGCGTAGCGAACGAACTTCAACCTGGAGGCGAGTTAGCGTAGCGAACGAGCTAACCTGAAGGCAAGTGAGCGCAGCGAACAAGCTCCAACCTAAAGGTGAGTGAGCGTAGCGAACGAGCTCCAACCTAAAGGTGAGTGAGCGTAGCGAACAAACTTCAACCAGGACGTGATTGAGCCATGCGAACGAGATCATCTTGAAAATTAAGAAGTTAAACGGGGCAAAGCCCGCGTGTTACAGCTAGTATACTTATAGATATGGAGAAAGTATTGTTTTTGTCAACATTTTTGAGTTCCAAGTTTTGAGTGAAAATAACAGTTTTTGGTTACACAACTCCCAAATGACACTCGGTTTACCTTTCAAAGTCAAAAACAGCTGCTTTAGGGAAGCCCTCAGTGCCAGAGGTGTAAACGTAGACCATGTTGGAGTTAATGTTGAGTTTCTTGGAGATACTCTCATCTATGGGTTTCACGAGATCTTTATTCGTCAGCTCCGGATCGAGGTGTATTATAGTTTTAGTCAGTCTTGTGGAAGGCATTTTACCTCCCAGCACGTAAATCTTCCAGTCCACTGGCATCTTGTTTACCTGATCCTCTGCATCATATGCATCCTCAAACGCTACAAACATAAGAATGGTTGGTTTATTATCAACAAATCAGTATATGAAACACAATTGTTTTGTTGAGAACCTAATAAGAACCCTGAGGATAACAATTTAATCAAGGTATTGACACACATATTCTCATTGCTAATTGTTGAGTATGAGTATTCTCATACTCATACCTATTGACATACATATTCTCCTCAGAAACTCAAAAATGCTGACTCTTAAGAGTCGGCGTGACCGCCGGCCATCTTGGATTTCCTGCCCATAACGGCAATGTTAATGGTTGAAGCACATTATGGCATTGATAATTAAGATAAAAGTTGCAAAATATCTCGTTTTAAAGCTATTTAAACCGCGTATGTGATTTGCTATCTATTTTTTAATTTTAATTGTTATTATTTTGTAAAAGTACATAAATATATTAAACTGTGATTTTTTTTTCAACCTTTAAAACAAAAATTTTAAAAGTCAGAAAAGCAATTCACACGGAAAATAGATTTAAGAATCACATAACCTTTTCTGCTCGGTAATGAAGCTTACGATGCATGATTAATATGCTTCAACGTGAACGCATGTTTTTGTTGATCGGTACTAGGACAACCACTGTTTAGCCTGGCATCTGACGATCAACAACAATGCACAATTAATGACTCCTGCCGACTCTTAAAAACAAGTTTTTAGTGGACACTTGAAGTAACAAAATTCCTCAGCAATGAAACTCTCAAAGAATTCAACCACCTGTCGAATTCCATGTTTAACTGTCCACGGTTAGTATTTCATAAACGTTGTTCTTAACAGGCCACACTATCACATTATCATTGATTGTTGGCCAGAAATGCTAGAACCTGGACTAAGCCTTCAGGTTAGTGGTTCCACGCTCGTAACAACCAGTCCATCTGGGCATTCTCTGGCAGTTTAGTAGAGATTAGGAAGATATACGGCTAAATGTTGACATTTACAATGCAATATTCTAGTGTAACCCAATACCTTTAAATAGATCTTCTTTGGCGCTCACAATGATCGCATCACAAGGGCCTTGAGTAGCTTTGCTGACTGCGTGGATCAAAATGGTTCCTTTTGCCTGTGGAACAAACAGCAGTATAATAAACAGCTGATAACAAAGCTACACAAGGCATCACACTCCATTCTTCACCCATCCTTAACAAAATTAACAACCCTGTGCTAAAGTAACTGATGTTTCCATATGGGGGATCTGGGGGGCAAGGAATAACCCCCAGTAAAAAGGGGGTTTAGGGGCCCTCTCCTGGAAAATATTTAAAAAGTACAAAATGGTTGATTTTACAAATGTTGATGCTCAATTTGCTTTATGTATTGTAAATTTATTGTTTTTTGCATTAATTTTTAAAACTGTAAAAATGTGGTTAACGTAGGATCTCAATAGGGGGGCTCCCTTGCCCATATTCATTGACGCCCATGACCCTGCTTCACATCCTTCTAAAGAAGCTGTAGAAGAGAGATATCAAATTAATCGTATTGTGAACTTTCTGTGCTTTCAATTGCATGGAACTCTTTTCTTAGGCAAGTTAGTTGTGTGTGTGTGTAATAAATGCTCCCTTAATGTATTAACATTTTAATCTTACTAAGTTAAGTTGGATCTTCTTTTGTAATTTGTAGGTAAATCCAACGGTATTTAAAAATATATATTTAAAATAACTTGTTTAGAATTTGATGGTAAATGATAGTCAAGGCAATTATTCATGGTAATTGAGCCAAAATATTAATATTGAATAATGGTAAATGTTTGTACACATTATGTTCAAGTTACCGTAATGTTAACCAGAGCTGTGACGATGCCGATGCGACTGAGACCCAGCCAGACACCGATGTACTCAAGACGGTTCTCCATCAACAAAGCCACCTTGTTCTTCTCTTGAAAGCCATTGTTTTTGAAATAATTGGCGATTTTATATGAATAATCTTGAAGCTGTAACATTTACCCAATTTTCACATTTAGTAGTTGACATCAGCGAGCCAAGGTCAGCATTTATTCACAATCTCCTAGTTTGAAAGGTAAAAAATAGCCTATAATCCTGCAGAAATTACTACAGCTAGTTGCAGAGTCTAAATAAATTCTTCAATTAATGTTATAGTTATTTTCTCAAGTTCTATTGAAAACTTCATTTATTTAAATCAATTTGGAACCCCTTCGGATAGTCAAAAATCTGAATACAGTTTTGAAAATGGTTGAAGACAGTGGCAGTGGAAGGAGAATTAATTATCGCCTGCCAACCAATTTCATCAATTCCACATTATATTATTTAATAGAATAATACAAATTTTATTTTGATTTCTCCTAGAGGTGATCTAGATAATAGGAAATCCGGATGATTGGAGCTTTACTGTGATTTCATCCTGATTTGTCCTGAAAATTATGAAAGTCTATTTAAATACCCACTTATGTACAAAGAGTTGAAATATTTCTTGTTTGTTACCATACTGGTGCTCATGTGTCAATGTTAAACACACATTTAGAGAATGTTAAAAACCCCAGTAAAACACAAGTAGCATAGGCTTAAGATTTGTATTTTATCTTCAAAATTGCTTGAAATAATTATATGTTTTCCCTTCATAAACTCACGGTGTTGACATAAAGTTTAGTATTGGTATTATTATATGATCAAATTAATCCATAATGCTGTTAGAAATCAAACACTGAACAATTATGAAGAAACTGAACAAACATTTACAAAAATATGAAACGGTTTATGGAAAATTATACAACCGTGAAATAAATAATTAATTAGGTGAAAAATTATAGGAATTAGACTGGGGTCTACATCATTCACTGGCTTACAAAACAAAAATAATGTTAAGGACAATAATGATAAAATCATATTGTTTGTCCAGCCAGAATTAACGGTACAAGTTGTGTTGGCTATGGCATAGAAATGTCATATTGTAATTTCTATGACACAAAATAAAATAACATAGACCTCTTTAAATGTCCAAGCCTGATCTTCTAGACGAATGGCAAGTTTGTTAGGGTGAGCTTTGACAACATCATCAAAGATTTGGTGGATCGTCCACCCTTTGGACGACCACTGCGCGATCAGTTTGTTGACTCTCCAAAAATTGTAACCAAATCTGAAACAAAACCATTAGTGCTTACCTACATTTTAAATTTGTTTATTTTAATAAGAATTTAGAGTTTTTTAGGAATATAGTTCAGATGGTTTACCACAGAAAATTAGAGTCCAGGGGTTGGATACACAATAAAAGGCCACAAACCATTTATGTGGTCCTGGAATTTAATTTTCTTATGAACGCTAGTTGAACAATATAGGTATTCCGTTTTGAAAATTCATAACCATCCACTTAGGGTTTATTTTCAATTATTGCCTAACATCTCATGTGATCATGATAGAAATAATAATTTGATACAACTTAATATCAAAATTAGCGGTACTATGAAATGAAATCAACTTTATTCATACTTTGCAAACATGTGCACGAATGGCATCATTACATTGGATCAAAATCATAATGCTTAATCCCAAAAAAGTACAAGATATAATCACTATTGAAAAAGTTCTTATTCTAATATATTATGTAGGAGGAAATATTCATTCTTTGAGTACAGGGGATTGGTTAAAAAGTACATTTTTAGTTTAATTTTAAATTTTGTAGTCCTTGTGCAGTCCTTTAATTTTGTTGGAAGAGCATTGTAACATTTTATACCCATATACATTGGTTTTTTTTTTTTTTAATCTAAACTATATGGAGGCCACACATTTTACAGCATGCTGCGGCGGTTATGTTAGGTTTGGTTACCATAAATATGTTTGTAAGACTTTCCTCTTTTTGTTATGAATCGAATGATACCAGATGAGTCATACTTCCTATTTATAATAGCCCAACCTAACATAGCCGCCACAGCACGCTGTAAGAGTGGCCTCCGTATAGTACCAAAGTACCAAATTCTCAACAAAGATAGTAAAAATTAGTGACACAAAATTACTTTCTTTCACAGCAAGTGAGGGTCATTGAGAGTCCTTGGAGCCTAGCTGAGCTTACTCATAAAACAATTACAAACTTACAACAAAAATGTCTAATCTCATAGTGCCCTAGATATTAAGATTACAATTACTAAAAATTTAAAAAAAAAATATTTTGGAATGATAAATAACTGTTCATCAACTGTTTGAAATTAATACAAGATGGCCACTACCCTCCAGGACTCGTTATGTTTTATGCCATAACTTTTTTTCTCAATGATGTGGCAAGATTTTGATACTACAGTCATAAGTGTTTATTAAAGAAATTACAACTGGTGATTTGAGCATAGGAAAATAAATAACGCTCAAACAGTAGTTTGGAAAATAAATTATCAATTCTTGATTGAAATTAGCTATCATGATTGCTGAAGTATTGTATGTAAATAATTTCGATAGGTCTAGCTTTCTTACTTACTGCTGTGGCGACTGGTACCCTAAATCTAAATGGTACTTGGCCTCCCCAACACACTGCCTCCATACATCTCTGCATCTTGCGTCCTCCTCCCTTCTTCCCAGTTTTCTTATGACATTTCTACTTTTTCCAACCATCTCAGTTTCGGTCTACCAAGGAGTCTTCTTCCTTCTGGGTTGTTCTCCAGTACTTTCTTTGGTAAAGAGTTGTCTTCTTTTCTTATATGTCCTGCCCTTCATATCCTTCAGTGACAATATCCGGATCTTTAAATAATTCTCTCAGTTCCCAATTATGCTTTAATTTCCATCGTCCATCTTCAAAAGTCAGCCTGTGCACTTTTCTCAATATTTTTCAAATACTACATATAACTTTCTTTTCTGTTGTTTTACTTAAAATCCAATTTTCTGATCCATACAGGAGAACTGGTCTGATTTTGCGGTCTTATAGTACGATAGGTCTACATAAAATAAATCAAATGTACACCATTAAGTGTAGAGGTGCTAGAGATAAAATATAATAACTAAATGTGCAAAAAATTATCTATTTCCAACTTGATGTGCTTAGGTAAAATACATGAAAAATACTAAATTTTACATTACCTTTACACTAAGTACTATACTAATACCTTAGTACTATATTTAACTTACCCAATGTCCCGAGGGAGCATAGGGATGGTCACAAGCATTTGGAGGATGAAGAAAAGTTTCATGGCTTTAACATGGAGTCAAAAGTATAAGCCTACAGTACTGAGCCTCTCACAACTAAAATAAGATTGAAAACATCTGTGTAATTTGTTTTTAATCATCAATTCTCACATGTGCTATATAATTATGTCCCATTAATTATATGATCTCTGACGTGATGACATACGTTCAGGTAAACGTTTCATGCCAAGTTATCTGTTAAAAGTTTAGGAATCCTACAAAAATATGGAAAATAAAAAAAATAAGTTTTTAATCAAAATAATTAATCAACATCCCATTTCCAAGTCAAAGCTGTGGCCGATTTAGAGTAAAAATGAACATAATTTTATTGAACCACTAACATAGTACCATTGACTATTTGTTGTATTAATAGTCATAAATAGTACACTGATGTTGATTATTGGACAGATTGTTTGCCTACTCTTGTTGTCAATTATTATTTACCAAGAGTAAGAACTACGGATCGAACCTGGTAGTTGTCATCAATCCTTGCTTAGTCAACTTTTCAGGAAATTAAATTTGTGGTTTTTACCCTCCATTATTCATGATTGGTTTACCATTAAACATTAACATTTTGTAATGAGTCAAGAAAAATTAATTATTATTTTAAAATCTCTGTTTTTCTCAAGTATTTTTTCTCTTGAAAATATGTTAAGCTCTAAATTTCTTCTGGCCCGAATATAGGGTCAAACTATATCACAAAGTGTCATGAAACATTTTTTAACTTACCTCTTGTGTCGACCATGATTATACAGAACGGAGTGAGATAAACAATCAAGGTCAGCAGGGTTCAGTTTCGATTTGAACCATCGGAGCTTCGGATTTCACTCAGAATCTAACCAGCGACGTTTTGATCAGTAGGCAAGCACTGTAAGCCACTCAGGTACCCAGGTATTGGCAATTGTATTATTTAGGTTACTTTAGTGTTATATAATTTATTTTATAGTCAGCCAATTTATTTTGCATTGCAATTTTAGCAATTACAGACTTATTCTATTTGTGTTTCAGAAAATATCCATCAATAGCCCAAGGCCCCTCGTCCACTCGATGATTTCAGTTGCATGACATTAAATCACCTGACCAAATTCCAATAGTGAACTATTGGAGGTTTGAGCGCTCGCCCAAACTCTGACCGTCGAACGACAACAAACGGTCGGTGTGCAATCGTCCACTGCCACTGTGATCCACAACTGTCGGCCAATTCTTGGTTGCAGTGGCGTACATGACCAAATGGAGGTTGGTCCACACCGATATTTTGTTGGGTGTCGTTCTTACCAGTACTAATATAAAATATACTCTTACTAGCCTCATTATAATAGCAAGTCTTTCTTTTGATGTGATACACTTCCTAATTTTCTCACGGAGTTCGTCAATGAATGCAGCAGACATTCTGAAGTAGTTGAAAAAATTATTGTTATTATCATCATGCCGAAATTATTCAAAAAGAGAGTAGTGTGTTCCCTACTTTGCTTAATAGGGTGAATTCAGCACTTTCCCTTAATCCTACGCCGCTTAATTTGGCACCAAAGGAGCCACATTGCAACAAAACGTTAGGGATTCATTGTTTTACTATTTTAGAATGTTCGCCATGCAATGCCTACACTCGTCCAAGCTTTGACAAACTGCTCGTTTTATCTGATAAAGTGTCGTAATGTGAGTGAGGAATGTGCCACCGATACAAAGTCGGGTGACCGAAATCGTTGAGTGGGCGAGGGACCTATGGATTAGTAAAATACAGAATGAAAGTAAAGGGTCAATGTAAAACCAACATGTTCTCAAATACATTTACTACCACATTACATTAAAAAAGTGCCAACAAGTATTTAGTCAACAATACAGTTTACACAATTTTTTTTAAATAAGGTAAAAGCAAGTAGCAATATGATACTGAACGTACAACCTTAGCTTTACACAGTAAGCAAAAGAGATATTCGATTAAAAACAATTGTTCATGACTTTAATACACTACAATGCAATGGCACTACAGAATGTTTGTAATTATACAAGTTTTCCTTCATATGTACTTGACACAAATTTGAGCAAAAGGTATACTTTGAATCTGCATAGAAATAAAATGTCTTAATTTGATCTTTCTCGTTTACACTTCCAAGCCTTTAATTTGTTTTTACGCCATACTACAGTATTTTGATGAACTTCCCAAGCAAGGATTTAATCCAGAAAACAGCTGTTTGTCGCCAGCTTAATCAAATGGGGTTTCATTGCGTAGTACTGTACTGTAATGAGTTTTACCGGACACCAAACAGCTGATTATACTGTATTTGGCAATGAGTGGCTATAAACAAAAACATAACCTCTTTTATAGGTTATGACTAGTGATTGTTAGTCCTTTAGTTGGTGGTAATATAGAAGGATTTGTACAGATTTAGTGGTATGGCGTAAAATATCGTACGTCACTTGCAAAAAATTTGTTTACCGGACTCGTATGGTAATATGGAACGACCACACTCGTCCGGTAAACACCTATTTTCAGGACTAGTAACGTAATATACTATTACAGTTCAGTACATGTTTTAAAGATATTAGTTTTTTTAAACAAAACTACGCTTTATTATTGTACAAACTCTTAGGTTATGTTTTTGTTCAGACATGAATAACATTTGCTAGTGAAATCCTTTGCTCAATTTTAGCAGTCTGAAGATATCAGTAGCTTAGGTAAATACGAGTTGCAATAACTCAATAGTTTAGGGGTTAAAATTTCTTCTAATTTCTTATATTCTAACTCTAAGATTATAAAAGGTTTTTGTTTTCATCTCTGAAGGGGATGGGAGGTATGTAACCTTAAACCCACTCTTAAAAAAAACCATCGTATTCCTCATCTTTTATTGGAACAAAAATAAGCTAAGTCAGGGAAAATGAAATAAATTCTATCTGAGAGCATAGCTAAGAAAATGAGACTCTATAACGCTTAGTATGTAAAAATAAGTAATGTTATTCTATATTTATCAGTTGCAAAAAAATCCTTATCTACGTTGTTTGTGTGTAAGGTTATAAAAATATGAATATCTTTGAAATATTTTGGAATGTGAGTAATAAATGCCACCGATTACACACAAATATTGTTAATATTCTCAGTAGTCCCTTCTAACCTCGCCTTAACACAACTAAAGGACATTTGGTTTTCGATTGCACTCAATAGTTTGGATTTTCATTTTCTTAAATAACTACTAACCTTAAAACACTATATAAATAAGTAAACTGACTAAAATGAGACCAGTTAATCTGACTAAATCTGAAGTAAGTTTAGTCATGCAGCAGAAATAAATAAATATACAAAACTATCAAGGATTAATGCAAGTTTACAGCTTGACGTTAAACAGGATAATAAAAATTTTTTACCCCTAAATCCAAACAATAGGTCTACGTTTTTTAACCTGTTCGCTACCAACATGCAAAGAAAAATAAATTGAACGTAAGCTCTTAGCCTAGCATTAAACCACGATACATCTCCCAAGAATCCGTCACTTGGGCCGGCTTTTATGGAACACTATTCAAGCCCAACTTAACTAATACCAAGCTAAATTCTTCAAAGTAAAGCTTAAATATTTTTTACGTTTGTGAGGTTGCCTTGCTGTTTTGAATTATAAAGGGTCAAAACAGCACTGAGGTGTACATGTGGTACACCTTGGGGTTCAAATTGGTCTACAGTAATCTAATTTCTGCATTTTATGCACAGTAACCTATTCAAAATTAAACCAAGGCAAAAATGTGCTTCTAAAGAAATTTTTGTTAAAAACAAAAAATACTCTAGTCAATGTTTCCAAAATCAGCCTATCATTATTCTCCCAATGTTCCGTTTCTTCATTGTCCCCCTCAATCTTCCGGACTTGCATTTGGCAGCGAACTTGTTAAACGTCAGAGTATTTAGGCTTCCTGGCATCAACCTAACCTACTATGTACTCCCCTAAACCAAATTATCACAGGTGGGCAAGTCATTAGTTTAAACTTTTGTTGTCATTACAGTTTCATCTTCCCGCTTACAATCTGCCCATAAAGTTTCTCAGTCAAGGGTTCAAAAGCAGTGCCGTTGAAGAAATAAACTGGATCCTTCAGCGAAGACGGATTGTAACCTTCATTTTGCAGATCTACCTTCTTCAATTTAAATGTTCCTAAAAGAGAAAGATTTTGTTATCTAACTCATACAACTGTACAAAAATATAAACTAAAAAATATAGAGGAAAAACATCTAAAATGAAATACAGGTAGATGAGTATGTGAAGATAAGAGAAGCAGAAGAGTATGTTCTCTAAGTTTCCCAAGCTCGAAGAGTTCGAAGAATGCGTCAAAAGTAAATCATTGGTTTTTATGCCAAGAAAGGTATGATATTAAGTTTCCAGGTGTGGTTCCAGTACCAAATAAATCAACTATTATTGATATCTAAGAATTTAAGAAAACCGGATATGTAGTAAACAAATACCTACATAAAATACATATATTTGAGCTTGTGAAACACCATGTTGAGACTAATTTAGAATCAATCCCAATAACATAAAACCTCTTAGATAACTATGCAGCAATGCATATCAGCTGATTGGCAATAAAGTAAAAGAAAACAGGGATACCAACATATTTACTTGTTTTGTTGTAGAAAAGTACTTCACAGTACCAAGTACTTTATTAATGATTAATAATACTTTAAATATTTGGGATGTATTAACAAAATTATAAAAAAACACCATGTACAAAAAGTACAGTATAATTTTGTAGAGGTTGAATTTTTAAACGTAAATCATTGACCAAGCAAAAACTAACCAGTTAGAGGTGTAGACTGCATGACTCGTAAGAACAGAGGTCGAGCGTAAGCTGGTAGAGCCTTCCTCATACCCTCGGCCAGTAGAGTGAGCTGTAGAGAGTGGTCTGGGTCTACTACAGCTGCCATACCTGCACGACCCTCCACGCCAGGGACCTACAACATACACAGTCAGATGATCTGATATCTGCTTGTTTAACATCAGTCTTAAGGTCTCAAATAATGGATTTTAGTCATATTAGCAATCGGCAGACATCGGGAGCATTTTTTGAGGTATTTTGGCATAAGTATATCACTACTAAATTGAGAGAAAGCATGATAAAACACCACATAATGGCTGGCAGGTCAATGATTTTGTTTTGACGCTCTAAAAGTTTTTTAGGTGCTCTTGCTCTTTCATTGAGTTTTTTTCAATCTGGCACCGCAAAAGTCCTGAATTTGCCGGATAAGCGAGCTTCTACTGTAAGTGGTGTAAGCTGGCTAGGACTGGCTAGTTGAGATTTAAAGCAACAATTAGCAAGGAAACAAGGACCTTGCTTAAAACTGTAGAGGTGTTGAATTAACTATTAAGTTAGCTGAACCTACTAACATAAGTGGGGTAGCTGAGATAAGTAACTACACATAAACTTTTTGATGGTTTGAAACTAGTTTTAAAATGTATTTAATATTGTAATATTATAATGGTTTTCCCTTCTTTGCAGCACAAGTGAAGTCTTGCCTTCAACCATTCTTTTAGCTATGCTCACACAGAATATACATGTAAGGACTTCTATGAGAATATCAGTCTTACCTAGATTGGAAAATGCCCATTCTGGCACAAAAAAAAACACTAAACTTTACACACTATACACCAAAATCAAAATATTTTACTGACACTGACAGGATTTTTAAGGAAGGTTTGAGTTGGAGAAGTAGGTGTTTTTAATGGCGGCCAAGAACAAGAAAATGCCTGTGAAATATTCTGATATTTGTGTAGAGTGTAAAGTTGTGTGTTTTTGTGCCAGTGCTCTTTCCCATTCAGGCGAGCCTGTTATCCTCGGAAAACCTTTAAAACCTAGGCCCCTGTGCTCATGTTACATCTTTACCCTCATTTACAGTTAGTTAGTAAATGTTTAAGTTACTCTTGATCTATTAGCTTGTGGGACTTGAGTTGAAAATCCTGGCTAATGAAACAGCTGATCTTAGTCAGTAAAAAAGCTACACAGGTCTCACACCATTCTACACTCATCCTTCACTCATGTTTGGGTTAAAATACACACCTAGTCTCCATTCTCAATGATTGATAATAATAATTGATGTTTTACCTCCACTCCGTAGACGATGGCGTCCTTCAGTCCCACCACATTACTGATGACAGCTTCTACTTCTGATGTAGCTACGTTCTCACCTCGCCATCTACACAACCGTTATCTCATTACTTTACTGATTCTATGATTACTTTCAGGCTCAGATATACATTTTAAAATCCCGAATTGTTACACCAATGACAAAACACTTTTGGTAACAGTAAATGTAAGTTTTCATTGAAAAAATGTCTTATTTTTTTAATGTTTGTTAGATTTGAAACAAAAATTAAACCATACAATATGAGGAATTTACTAGGCTTACCTAAAAGTATCTCCTGTCCTATCTTTAAAGTAGAAGTAGCCAAATTCATCCCTCACCAAAATATCACCTGCAAAGAGAAACATTAGATTAGGCGTATATGAGGAGATAATGACAAACATACGACTAATAGGTTAACACTTTGCAATAGAACCACCGAACCACCCAAACCACAAACTAATACCCCCGCCGCAGCAAACCTGCCGACTAAGCGAATTTCCATTTGTCTGAATTGATTTTCGGTTAAATATATTTTAATAACATTAGGTTTAACGAGTACCTAGGTTTGCTGCTACAAGGAAACTAATAAAGTGTGTTTTTGAGTAAAATATTGTTAGCTTAGTACAAAATAAATAAATTTGCCAAGGTTGATCAAAATATAAACATAAACAAGCAAACTACAACATTTTTGACAATATTCTCCAAAAGAATAACATGGGAATTTTAAATTTACAATTTTTTTAATTTTCTCCGTTACTAATAACCGAACAAAAATACTTTTAAATACTAAATTATTATTTTTTTAAGCTCTTTAGAAAGGTCTAAAGAGAAATTGGGAAATTTTGTGTTTTGAGGGTGAAAAGTGAGAAAAACCAATTTTTACCCCATAAAACCCCCCGTAAAGCCCCGTTCCCATGGTCCGATCATGCTGGTTCGCGAACTCATTCAAGTTTATCCCGCTTTCCACCTTTAAACCAAATTTCATCAAAATCGGACACAAATTACTCAAGTTATCGCGTTCACGGACGTATATATATATATATATATCTTCTATATATATAAAAGGCAAAGCCCTCACTGAATCACTGACTGACTGACTCACTCACTCATCACTAATTCTCTTACTTCCCATTTACCTAGGAGGCTGAAATTTGGTACACCGATTCTTTAGGCATTAAATAGGAAAACTAAGCTGTTTTTATTCTGATCGGGCTCTCGGGCTCCGCCCCAGTGACTCTGGAGTTTCCCATGTTAACCTTATGCGAGTTCTCATATTTAAATGGAATTAATGAATCTTAACAGCTGTTTCAATTAAACATGTTGGTTCTGTTCTATGATGTTCAATAGCATTAAAGTTGCAATGATTACCAACAGGGTGCAGCACTATTATTTCTTTTACATTTATGACAACAGCTAATTTGCAACCAAAAGGTGAGTGAGCGTAGCGAACGAACTTCAACCTGGAGGCGAGTTAGCGTAGCGAACGAGCTAATCTGAAGGCAAGTGAGCGCAGCGAACGAGCTCTAACCTAAAAGTGAGAGAGCGTAGCGAACGAACTTTAACCAGGACGTGATTGAGCTATGCGAACGAGCTCACTTATGAAGTTAAACGGGGCAAAGCCCGCGGGTACAGCTAGTATATATATAAATCTATATATATATATACATATATAAAAATTTGAACGAATGGTGTTTTTGGCCTCTGGGGACATCAAAATGAAAAAGAAAATCGGTCCCGGGTCTAGGTCTTACCGTGCCACCTACGGTAATAGCTACTTCCCTATAGGGAAATTCGCTAATAAAGATATACATTTTTAACTAGGGTAAATTAACTATTGGTTTTGAAAATAATTTGTATAAGTAAATTAAAAAGTCTCTAAAACGTATAACTTAAATAACATTTATTATCTTACAGTTCAGAAAAACTATTTAGTTTTTCTTAGTTTAGTAGTTTATTATGTAGTTTTAGTCTTTGAAACCTATCTGGCCAAATTGGAAAAATAGAAAAGTGTAATAGAGGTGTCATGGTTTCTTCTATCTCCATATAAATAGTATGTAATAACACTACGTTACGGTTACAGATTAACTGGAACACTGGTTAAGGATTACACGTTTCAAGACTTTATTTTACAATGTCAGTTTTTGTCACTTTTGGACCTAATTGGAAATAGTAGTTTACGCAACGATTGCGTTAAGTGAGTCTTTACGACACGAGTAGAAAATTTAAGGCACGAGCCTTGGCGAGTGCCTTAAAAACTTCTACGAGTGTCGTAAAGACTATTAACGCGAGTTGCGTACACTACTTTACCTACGACCGTTTTTTTAATTACTATCAATCTGGATTTAATTACTAACAATCACTAATGATAACTTTTTAGAGAGGTTATGTTTTCGTGTATTGTCATTGCCACTGAAAGTGATGCAACGACTTGTTGTATAATCAGCTGATTTCCTGTAATTACGTGTTTGTTAAACTTCGTTAAATATTACATTGCTAGCAGCATTCTTACCATAAATAATATTGTATCAGGTACAATTCGGCAAATATTTCATTTATTTTTGGACTTCCACCAACTTAATTAAGAATACGCGAGTATCAACATGAACAAGTCGGATCAACAATTAAATTGGTCAACTGATCAGCTGATCAGCTGATTAGTTGACGTTCGAAGCATTACAATTTTAATTCTTTTCTCTCAATACTTGAACCTCATTGGTCCGTTACCTGTGTGGATATGAGAAAACTATGCGGATATGAAATGAAACTATGCGGATATGAAAGTAAACAGCTGTAAAGTGAAACTTTTCAATTCTAAGAACTGGACTGAAATGGCTACTTTAAAAAACGGTCGTAGGTAAAATATGTTTTCATGAACATCTTAAAACTTGATTCCTTACGTTTTTCAGATCAGAAATGTCATACAAATCTTTTTTCCCTAGTCCTGTTAAGATTAGCGGCTCTACTGAGTTGTCAGTGCTGGGGCATTCTTGAGTCTTTTTAAGCACAAGAAATGTGAAGTATTAGAAGATAGTATAAGTATTAGAACAAGAGTTAAGCCGGACTTATTCTAAGACGCACATGACACAACACGCACAAGCCAAGTTTCACAGTGCAAGCCACACAGCACACACTAATGCATGACCCATGTCCCATGACTAAACCCATGACTAATGCATTTGACTAATGCATGTTAGGATACAGTAAATGCACAACACAGTTGCCGAGACCGATGATAGTAGCTACTCCTCTGAGTCCGATACAAGAGTTGACATTTTTCCCTAACATATTTTTTTTATGAAATATTAACCCTTCCAGGGCTATGGACGGATATATCTGTCAATCTTTGTTTACTTTTTGGGCTGAAAACGGATATATCTGTCCCGAGATATTTCTTTTCTGGGATAAAGACGGATATATCCGTCCAAAAAATGAATTGATATACAATGTTTATAATAGGGTAATAAACATTACACTGCATTACAAATGGGTTATTTTGTTTTTGTGGTTGGCAATAATAATTGCCGCAGTTGTTTCCGCTATTTTGCACCATAGAGTGTGCGTAAGTAAATATTGTTGTCACTTCACACATGGATGTTAGTGAGAGATGTTTAGATTTTGTGTTTTATACTTTATTTTTTTTATGTTATTGAGCTAAAGTTACTAATGCAAACAATCTGAAATTTGAAGATGTTATTGAGATGCTTAATGAAAGTATGTCTGAGGGGGGTTTTATACTTGGCAGTGAAAATAATAGTATGGAATGTGATGGATATGATGAACCTGAAGAACAGTCTTTACGTAGTGGAAGTCTTGGCAGGGAATGGGATTGAGGACATGGGAGCGGAACTGAGTGGTTTAGATTTACTTCAGATTGAAAGATACCAACATTTTTATGGGGAAAATAAAACAAGGGAAGGAGTAGCCTAATGTTGACGGATATATCCGTCTGCCGCCCACAAGAATACTCAAGATTATTGGCAGTGTTCATATTTTGTGATTATCACTGAGGGCTGCAGACGGATATATCCGTCCACCTTATGTTTTTTGTGGGCCAAAGACAGATATATCCATCAAATCAAATTTTATTTTCTTCATAACTTTTGTGCAAAAATTATTTCAGCCCTAAGGAAAATCTTTTTATGATCCATGAATTATTTCAAGTGAAATAAGTACAAAACACAACCACAACAGTTTTTAATTTTTGGCAAAAAATAATTAAGCTTCATTTAATTATTTAATGTTTAATAATTTAATTTAATAATTAGCCCATCATTTAATTTAGCCCTGGAAGGGTTAATATTTAGTTTTGAAATAAATAAACAAACAAAATTTAATCAAAATATAAACAAGCAAACTACAACAGTTTAGTTTTTCTTTGAAAAAGTAATTTGGTAGTTTTATGTTAATTTTTTATTTTTTTCTTTTACTCAGTAATTATAAAGCTTACTATAAATCTATGGTATACAATACTGTTTGAGTCTCAGCATATACCCGGCCTTATTCTGAAAAACAATATACTCAATCACCTAAAAAGACATTTTTATCATCCATAATAATCCCCCAAAACGGTACAAATCCATGAGTTTAATATTATTATTTACTAACCTGAGTTAAAGAATTCATCTCCTCTTTTGAAGACGTTCCTCAATATCTTCTTCTCCGTGGCCTTCTTGTCAGCGTAGCCGGTGAACTGGCTGAAGGGGTGGGACTTCTTTACACCTCCGACAAGGATTCCTGGCTCGCCTAGGGTCACAGCGTAATGTGTTAAAAAAAAGCAATGTTTAACTACCCTAGCATTAAACCACGGCCACCTTTAACTCCAGGCCACGCCCTTTGAAGTGACGTCGCAAGTAGTGTTGTTACAGCTGTTTTGTTTGGAGGCAGCTTATGGTATTTGTGTATTTTTTTAGAATGCTTGGTTACTGTGCTATGAAAATATTAACTCCACTTTAAAAGTACTGAAATAGACTTTCAATTTAAACAGTTTTGGTTTTCAACTCTATGTTTTATTTTCAAAATTTTAATAAATTTATGATCATAATTTTAAATGTAAATGAATAATACGCGATTAATGAGCTGGTGTCACCTGTTTGCCATGTTACCTTATGGGACATCTGGCAAAACAACACTACTTTCAACGTTGCCAATTCTACCAGGCCGCGACCTGGAGTTAAAGGATTCAGCTGAATTTTATTTTGATGTAGTTTAAAGACAAGATACAATTTTATTCGTAACGAATCACTATGTCAAACCCCAATCAAAAGGAGGATACACTATTAATGGTTTGAAGAAACTAAATCCTTTTTTAACTACATTTACATAAGGTAGGATGTATCACTCCTACCTTATGTACCATCCAGGTAGGAAGAATCACATAAGGAGGCTTAAGTGTTTGTCCGATCCAAAGGTAAGAGGACTCGTCAATACGATTTCGACTGACTCAAAATTCTAATACGGGATCAGTTATTTCCAATTTTTGAAAAGAATCTGCTCATTCAAGCAAATTCTTTCGTGACTGAGTGCTCTTGGTTGTTAAAGGCAGGAGCAAGCAGGTTATTTGTACAATAGTTCCACCACGGGTATTTACCGTCATCGCAGCGTATACAGAATCCATCCTCTGTTCTTATTGGTTCGTTAGTCTCCGGATCAGCTTTGATCAGATAGTACGGGTTGAACACAGTTGCGAACCAAGGCAAATAACCAACAGCTCCAACTTGATTCTCCGTGTTAACTGAGAACAAATGTCAAAAAATACAGTTAGTTATAATGTATAAGATAGTTTACAAAAATTAACTTATCTTCCAAAATAAAAATAGCGAACTAGAACAAAAACCAAAGTAACGGAATTGGATAATATCCTCATCAGTTTTCTTAAATAATAATTCTGTTGTTAAACCAAACCCAACAAAATATCTAAAAAATATGTAAACTTTTGAGTAACATTTGATCTGAAGATGTGTTTGTGAACACGAAACAGCTGTAGTAAACCAACTACAATCTAGGATCACTTGACGGATACAGATAATTTGAACCTTTTGTTATTAAAATCAGTGATCCAGAGGCTATACCATAAAAATGAAATAAAGAAAATGAGTTGGTTAGTACGTGTTTAAAGTTATTTTCAGCATCCTGGCTTTTTGTTTCAGGTTTTTAAAAATATAAAATGTTCAAACTACACGTAATTTAAATTCACAGTAGAGCATATACGAGATAAATTGGTAGATGTTATTTACCTAGAACATCATCAACTTGTTGAATGACAACTACAAATTTGACAAGTGTAGATAGTTAATGAAAAGTGTGGTGTTATAAGCTACTCAAAATATGTATTCAAATACTTAGCACCTATTTATTTGTTATGTTATATTTATTGCATATTTTTTATATTTCATTCATGACTATCAGTATTATTTTAGTTAGTAAAAATGTTCTTGTTGTTGTTAATCTATTTAAATATTATATTGTTATTCTTATAATATGTATTTTATATTCTTATATTTAATATTTCTATTTTGAGTGAAATTGTTACAAGACTGTCACAATAGAAGACGGACATTTTCCCCTTGTTATATTTATTTTCTATTTTGTATCACTCTTGTAAACATCCTTGATGCTACAATGTAGTTGGCATGTGATGTTTTTTAGCATTGTCAAATAAAATAAAATAAATAAATTTATAGAATCCAACTGTTTATACTTTTATCCCTCATTTATGGGTATTTACAAGCAAATTTGTACATTTGTCAGCTTTTTAATGTTGATAAGCCAATGTTTCAAAAACATAATAAAAGTTCTGAACAAAATATACTTCAAAATTGTTACATTTTTATGGATGCAACAGGGAAAGTAATGAAGTGTGTTTTTTTAGTAAAATGTTAATAGAGTCGCTGATTAGCTTAGTATAAAATAAGGAAATTTTCCAATTCCAATCAACATATATTCATAAACAAAAACAATCAAACTACAACAGTTTTCTTTTTCTCCATAAGAATAATTTTGAAACTTTAAATTACAAGTTTTACATTTTTTTCTGTAACTATTTAGCGAACAACACTTCAATATACTTAATTATTTGCTTTTTTAAGCTCTACATCGTGGTTTAGAAAGGAATTGAAAAATATTATGTTTTCAGGGTCGAAAACAGGAAAAACAATTTTTTACTATTCCCAAAAAAAATGAACGGAATGAAATGAATGGAAGTTTGCTAAAATGAACTTTTTGTGTGAAATGAAAACTTTTTACATTAAGGAGTTTCCTTCAGCTGGTTATGATTTTACCAGGCTTAAGTCATAAAAGTCACAGTTCATAAACGTTTTTCTTGGAACAGACTTGACCTCATTTCACTGTTAAAAATCATCCCCCACCACTTCTTATACTCAGTCAGAATGTTAAGGGTCCTATCATGCTTGAACTACCCTGAGTTTAGTTCCGTGTTTCATCTCTTGTGTTTTGTTTTCTGTCATAATGTGCATACATTTGTCGTCTGTTGTCCATAAGCTTGGCCTTGATTAAGAGTCCTTGGAGACTAGCGGCACTCTTGGATAATTTCAAACAGCTGCTGGAGTTATTTATTGTCCAAAAATATTTTTTCAAACACCAAAGTGATTATAATTTAAATATCTAGTATACTGTGAGATTAGAAATGTTCTTTGTAGTTCTTCAATTTTTTTACGAGTTGGAACGTCTAGGCTTCAAGGACTCTTAAGTTGAAGTTTATTTGATCTTGTAAGTTCAAAAGTTGTAAAAGAGCAAGAGCTTTTACCAACCATGTTATTTAATAATTTGTTTTCCAAAGATTCACAAGAGCTGATTAGTCTTGGAAATAATTTCTAGAAATAATCTAAATATTACTCGTCAACTTACTCATGTTACAGTTGCCCTCCGTGGACCCGTAGAACTCCCCCACTTCTCGGATATTGAACCGTGAGACAAAATCTTGCCAGATCTGAGGTCGCAGTCCGTTGCCCATAACTAATCTCACGGCATGGCTTTTTTGACACTCGGCGTCCGGCGCGGCCAGTAGGAACCGGCACATCTCTCCGATGTACTGCGCCACCTAACACACACACGTTCATTATGATTAAACAGTCACACAACAATTTGACAAATATTTACCATCATTGAACTGATTATAGATGGGTAGCAGAGTGGTAAATTGTGTTCACCTAGTACTTAGCCTCACCTAGCCTTTTTGATGGTTTAAAACTTGACCTTGCTGGTCTTAATCATGATCCTGGCAAAGAAACAGCTGATCAGTCAGTAAGAAAGTTACACAGATTATCTCACTTTATTCTCTACTCGTTCACTCATATTCAGGTTAAAATGTGCACCAAGTATTTATTGCTGTCTAAAAGAATTGATTAATTGATTATAAACTGAAAATATCTACAAAACTCCAATACACCCTGTGGTCTAAGAGATTCCCAATTGAATTACATACATTGTAGTCTCCACGACCGCGACAACACCCGTGAGGGTAACTTGCAGTCCACATGACATTGGTAATCATCTCCCTCGACCGCAGCAAAACCAGTGAGCTTAACCTGCAGTCCCCGCGACTTCGGTAATCGTCTCATGAGACGGCGAAAAAACCTGTCATCGGCGACAATGGTGATCGTCTGCCGCGATTACGGCAACAACCGCGATCAGCCTTTCGGTTAACCGATCTCGCTCAGCAATATCACCCCAGACAGAAAACAAGTGACGGTCGGACACTAGGTCGGATATCCCGAGGAGTCAGTTAATCCGAAGTCAGATATGAGGGGTTCTACTGTATAATTTTGATTTTACAGTTCCCAAATATTTCAAAATATAGGATTTTCTATAGGATGTAGACTATTACAATATAATGGTTAATGTTACCATTTCTAAATTGTATAATAAATCAAGAACAAATAAATGATCCCTATAACCCCAAGGGCAGTAGGAGAACTGAAACAGTCCAAGTAAAGTCTCAGGAATTAAAGTTTTGTACATTTGAATAAAACTCCTCAACATACCTTAGAGGGGAAAAAATGCTATACTAGGTCTGACTCAGATTTTATTACTACTTACAGTGCATTTGTACTTTATGCAGTCCGTCCAAAAGTTGGAAACACTGAATTTGGGTCTGATAACAACAGTGAGGCCATTCAGTACAGCTTGGCCTACACCTAGACAACCTCCAGCTGTGTGATACAATGGTAGACTGTCATAGACCACGTCATCACTGTGCATCCACATCATGTTGTAGATACCTCTAGCCATCATGAAAAGCCTGCAACAGCATATAAGATCTGAAATACAATGTAAATTGACAGAGGAGTTGTTGGAGATTACCTATCCAACAAGCGCCAATCCAGAATGTTCTTTACTTAATCTACTAGTATTCTAGTTCTCCTAGTTCTTGCCCGATGTGACGATTAGTCTTGTCACAGTAGCCAAAAATTATTTTAAGGAAAATTGTTTTTCACTAAGTAAGAATTGTGTTATGTAATTAGATTTCTGTGAGCATCAACCGCTACTGAAGTTTATCTTCACATGACGTTAGTGATGGGGTAAGGTAATTTACATAGGAAAATTTTATAAGGGGTGAGGAGCAAAGTTCAGAGGTGGTTGTAAACAATATGATTACGGAGTTTCTATAGTGTTGGAATGCTTGATTTAGAGACCAATGTTGGGAGAGTTTTGCATGCAGATCACAGTTTGTAAGATAGGTCACTTATAGCGAACCTCTATAACAGACTACTGAGGACAACGGTGAACCCTACTTCTCGATTAACACGTTCGCTGCTGCCCATCAAATGGCAGGCGTAGCCCCAGTGCGGCGCAGCCCGCAGCGTCGAACAAACTCGATTGCCGGGCTATTGGCTTTCATATTTCGGTATGACGAATATCAAATAACGTGTGGTGATGTCCTGTTTCATGACAAGAGTTGACGTAGTTTGCTAAACACCCACAGTAGATGCCATTATTTTACAATAAAACAAAATTAATATAGCACAAAATTACAGTTAACAAACGTAATGAGTGATTCAAAATCCACCAGGTATAGTTTCGGAACGAGTAACGATAATTACAAATGGATTGCACCACAAATCTGCCAATGTCATACACGAAGCACGGACAAAAATACTCCGACCTACACCGGAGTGCGGCTGCACTCAAACGGAATAAGTTTGGCGGGTGCACATTACCGCCCGGGCGGCGCGCCGCAGCGTGGCAGAGCGCGGAGCTACCGCCCGGGCGGTAACCCGATGCGAACGTGTTAATACTTGGCAAGGACAACGATTATCCCTCATATTGTTTTCCTTATTATAACGAGACACCCGATGCCATTGCATAGGGTTTGAAACCAGCTTCAGTAGTAGGATGAAATTATGAGCACAATGCGAGTCTTAGACTATAACTAGCTAACTTGGCTGCGTCTGCAGTTCATGAAGATTTTAATTTACATACAGCCCTTAGTAGTTTTTTACAATCTCCATTAGCCTTGTTCGGTGATGGCAAAAGTAGAAATTAAACCTATACCTTTGCTTGGTAGTCAAAACTTATTTTACTCGATAACAAAGTCAGGCAAAAAAACATTTTAAAAATATTTACCTTGCGTGAGTCATCTTGGCAGCCTTGGGCATACCCGTGGTTCCAGAGGTGTAGATGAGTAGGAAGCTGTCATTCATATCAACCCCTGCAGTGTGGTGGGGCGACAGTGTGGTGGGTGCAGACGATAGAAGTGTGTCCAGGGTGACACTGCCGGGGGGCAACTGTGAGAGCGACGCACCCGTGAGGTACACTTTCAACTGGGGCCACTCCGGCAACACCTCCTCCAGAGCTGCAAACAAGGTATGGGGAAATTAAAAAATATGACAATAAAGTGATATTATTATTATTATTATTATTATTATTATATAGGATAGGCTACTGTTATCAACATTTGAAAATACTGAATGCCTGCTTCGGAAATGCAGTTTCTATAATTTTCAATAATGAAGATTTTCTTTTGCTGTTATAAAGCAATATTTGCTATAAAACTAATAGAAATAAGAATCACCTAAATAATTAATTTGCTTGTATAAGGCCGACAGTAATTAGTAATGCGAATCTGTGTACTGCATTATTAATCAATGCTTAGTGGTATTCATCAGACTGCCCTTTTCTTTTGTACTGTCTTTTGTAATTACAAGCAGTTACCCCAGGAACTGTACCTAGGCCATCTGCGCATGTGCAAGCTGAGGTGCCCGTGGATACATAATGTCGAGTCGCATACGCTACGATTCTTTGTTTACATCTACGTTGTTATCTCGTAACCATCATGGCAACCCATAAGACTAATGTTAAACATTGCAAATTTTATGTCAGTCTAAAAGTGTACAGGTATTATCAAATTGAAATTTGTTTGTTTCGAAACATCTAAAATATTTCTCGCAATACCCCTGGTAAGTTTGGATTCAATATGTTCAGCCGTTATTGAGTTAATTGATTACATAGTTTGCATAAGGTCCGATCTCAAAGAGCTTCGCTCGCTCCGCTCAATTAAAAAGAATATATGTAAGAGAAAGAGTTTTGGTATTGTGGTAGGCTATATAAGAAAAATCGCTCGACCACCACTCAATAATTATTTTTAAACATGTGGATGAACATGTAAGCTATAACAGGATTTATCGTAGGATAAGTAAACATTACTTGGCACAACTAATTACCTCTTTATTAAAGCTCTCTATTTTTAACTAGGATTATAAATCCGTACAATGCAGTTTAGAAAGAGAAGCATATTGGAGGCAGATCAAACTATAGATAAAATATCGCCATACAATTCAGATTTCTAACTTATCAAATTATCTTTTTAAACTCCACACTGATCTCTTTTCAGAATCAAGAACTAAATGCATGGACTTAATACCCTTTTAAATAAAACTCCACCTTACAAAACCTAGCGGAAAGAGATTGAGTCATTGGTGCTCACCCTACTCATCACAGCAGCCCTGGCAGACCACCCCTTTCCCTACCACAAGTATTTATTGCCTTATTTCTTGCCTCCAATTGTTACTGAGATCAAAGCCTTCAATTAAACCTCCAGCATGCCTCCAAACATGTTGGTCTGACCACAGGTAATTAACCTAGGTCATGTAGTCCACCGGATCCTTATAGTATTTAATATGCTGTTAAATTTTTAGGGTGGGTTGCTAGCCTAGTGGTTAGCGTGTCGGACTTCGTGGCCGGAGGGATGGGTTCAATCCCCGGCACAACCACTAAACATTTTATGGGTTTGGACCGTTCCCCTAAAAAGGTTATGACTTAACTTTTGCAAAAATGCCACTGGCATAGAGAGGAACAAAAAATAAATTAACAGCACTGTCTAAATATAAACTGGTCAGTCCTGCTTGTATCATCTAAAAATCAATAGAACTTTGTCCAGAGAATCATAGGTTGAGTTTTCACCAGTTTTTCACCTATTATGCTCTGTTTTAATCTCACCTAACATACGGTCTGTTAGTCTGGGGGGGGGGGGGGGGGCAGTACAGCTGGAAACTTTAAATGCAAAAAAGAGAACTTATCTTGAAAAAAAAGCTGGACCATATCTGGTCTACGATACAGAGATAGCTGCAGGGAAGCATTTATAACCCTAAAAGTTCTAACAGCAAATGCCCTGTATATTAGGGAAGTAATCTTGTATGCTGATAAGAAATCACCACCAAGAGGAGCAGATTTACACAGCCCTGACACAAGATATGCCTCCAGGTTCAACCTACCCCACCATCACAGCTGCCTATATGAGAAAAAAAAACATCTTATATAGAAAACAAACTACACAACATTATGCTTAGTGGCCAAGGATCACTTATTGAATGAAATGGTTTATATTACCTGTCCGTCAGTGATCTTATTGTTGTTGTCTTAGGCTGTCTCTTGCCTAAGACGACAACAATAGGATCACTGACGGACAAGTAATATAAACCATTTTAAACTACACAACTATCTACTGGAAGAATTAAAGAAGCATCAGGGGAAGCAGCTGAGGACAGAACTCATACGCTGGCTTCAAACCCGTGCATTTTACACCATCGACGAGTTTCTTCACTGGAAGGACCACTACCCATAAAATACTATCACATTATTGGAAACCTTGACTGTACTAAATTTCTATGAGAAATTGTAAACAAAGAATTAAACTCACCATGGAGTAGTTCCGTACCACAGATTATTCTATGGAAGGCCCCCGCACTGATGGAGTGAGACAACACCGTCGTCCGCTGGTTAGTGTTGATCAGAGCCGTCACTGCTCCCAGCTTGGTCAGTCCCAGCCAATAGAACACCACTTGAGGTCTGCTTTCCATCAACAGCCCCACAGTGTCTCCGCGCTTCACCCCCTCGCTCTTGAACACATTCGCTACTTGGTTGGAGATCTCGTCCACCTGCGGACGACATTTTGTTAACACTTGTTGCTGAAAGAATCCTGCTTATCTGACGTAATTGGAGCCAAATCTTATTCATTTTAGCGGAAAGACTAGATGGTGTTTTGTCATAAAATGCTACATATTGACTTAATGAAATGTATAAAGTGTCTGATGTAATATATTAGATATTCTATTACACTGAACATAGAAGTGCAGAGTAGTGTGACTGGTCAAAGGGTGTGACTTGCCAGCCAGACCAATATAGTCAGCATTTGGACTTAAGTGCGAGACAGATAGGTTTATTCCCGACATATTAAGGTAATTTTTTAAATGGCTAATTTCATTTGCAAAAAAACTGTTTGTAATTCTTTCTGAATCGGCACAAGCAACCATAAAATGTATAAAATTGGTACAAAAGGCAGTACGTAAGTAGTTCTATCATTCATATCCTAGCTTTAATTTAATTGAGTGGATACTTCTAGAAACAGAGTTTATAAATACAGTAAAATTAACCTGTTTAAACGTCCAAGATTGGTCTTGGAAGTGGAAGGCGATCTTGTTGGGATGTCTTCGAACATTGGTGGAGAAGATACGAGCCGTTCCTCCGCCTTGGATCTTCCACTTGTAGAACTGTGCCAAAGTCAACCCGAACCTCAAGATCCCTCTGTAACGGAATAGAAGCATTAATCATCATTATTCTACTTTGTGATGAGATGTGTCTTTACTTTTAACATAGACAAAAAGAATGAAATATAGACTGTCAGCCGTGCTGCGATTAGCATAGGTTCTGGCTTTCACCGCTGGGAGCGCCATGTAGTTACGTCGCAGCACGGCTGACAGTCTATATTTAATTCTTTTTGTCTAAGCTCCATTTGGACTCCAATGATTCCTACAAACATTAATGTGTTTGGATGTTGATTGAAAGTATGAAAAGTAAGCTATGTTATTTAGTGTTGTAGTAGTAAATTGTCTAGTTAAGGTTTTCCCTCACCTCTGTAAAAATTAATATTAATACATAGGATTTGTGTTCCTTGGTCAAGTGTCAAAAAAGATGAAACAATTTTTACCAACATTTTAGTCTCGGTGTATAGTGTGACATTTTTCAGAAGACATAAAATTTTATGTTCTTCCTATTCTATTGAGTTATCTGCTCATCATCATGGATAGACGCATGCTTTAGTAGTGATGGTAAATCAGCTGTGCCCACTTCAGGGCTCTGGAGTTCTGCTCCTAGTGCTTTGAATATGGCATTCGAAAGAAGGCTGAAACTTTGGTAAAAAGAGTTTTGACTATTTTGACACAATATTCACCTAAATACCACAAATCTACAGTATGAGTTCGAGGAGTCCTAGCCATGAAGATCTTACAAGAGGTTTTCAGAAATATTTACAAATTACGAGTGATAATCAAAAACTTTGGTCACAAAGAATTGCCTGAGAGGTAACATTATTTTTAAATGATGATGAACTGTGTAGGACCTGTCAAAAGTGTTGATTGTAGATTTTCCTATCATAGTTAGAAAGGCTTAAAAATACAAACTCATTTTGCTAAAATAGGTTGAAAGAATTTGATCATAAACTGAAAGATTGGCAGAAAACAAATGAAAATATGTCTAATAACACTTCCAACATATGTTTACACGAATATTGTTAACTCACAAGATGTAACATCTAAAAGAAGGTAAGTGGTGGTAGAAAGTTTTTTTTTTCTTTCCATAAATTGAATTACACATACAATGCTGATCAAGAAGTTATTTAAAATATGATTATATTAACTAGCTGTTACCCACGGGGTTTGACTTCATAAGTATTAATATAACTATTGATTGATTGGTTAACTTAAGCTGAAATAAACAAAACAGAATACATAGTAAAACAAACAAATAATCAACATGATTTTAATAAGGTAACAAATTGAGAGAATAATAAACAAATAAGTACTGTACAGCTGAGGTATTTTTAGCATTAGGTTTGGAAGTTCCCTTAAGAAAGGAATTACGACCTTAAGGGCAATTTATGAAATAATGGATAGTTTAGCGCAAGGGTTCTCGTCATGACGAACATTAGGGGTGTGACTTTTCGTTTTCTCAAAAGTTCATGGGTACTTTGGGATTTATATGGATTGGACAGAATCGAGTTGTTTTAAATTAATTTAGGAAATTTTCATTCCAGATGTGACATAGAACAGTACAATAACGGTACATAGATTTTATCAACTATGTTCCTTTGAATGTTATTCAGTTTTGTTTGGTTACCTAAATGGCATCTTGAGTTGTTATTAAATACTTATCTTCTTTGGGTTACCAGAGATTATGTAATTTGTTCCTAATACGTTCTGAATTAGAAGCGGAAACAGGATTTTATCTTTGGTACTTTGCTCTTCATAATATTTTGATATTATTAAATGTAATTTTAGACTCCACAGTTGATGTTAAGTTATGAATAAAGGTGGGGGAATGATGATATAACATGATTCCCTTCCGTGGAAAATTCTTTATAAGTTCCGGCATAAGTTTTAGACATTTTACAAACACTACGTTGGCTTGTCAAACCACATTCACAAAGTGTTTGAATTCTATTTAAATTTGTATTTGACAAGAAGTTCTTTTTTCTTCTTTATGAAAGCGATGGTGTCCAAGTTTCTTGTCTCTGCTAAAACAACCACTGTGTTGACTTTTGTAAAACTCTTGCTAATATTTTACTGCTTTAATTTTAAAATTTTCTAATTTTTACACTAAAATTTTGGAAAATGATAACAAAAAGAGCAATTATTGCAGGAACAGAGGACCAAGATAATTTCTATGACTATCGCCAAACATAATTTTTCCTTTTTTGTTACTTTTGTTCTTACGCTTGAATTTTCATATTTTGTTAGTTGTTTTTTTTTTTTGTCATACTATCATCTAATAAACTAACTATAAGGTTTAGTTTTACTAATATAATTTTTGAATGATCTAAGCAATGCATTGTGAAACGGTCAATTAATTATTTAAATGTTGAGTTGTAATGATAAAATATTAATATTTTACTGATTGCCTTTGGAGAAGAGCCGAGTTGATCCTGTAACAATTATGTTGACAATACTGTAGATCTTGCGTTATGTAGGGCTATTGGTGCCACGGCTGTTTTAAATTGAACTTCCAAATAGAACACAATTAGCTTCAAAACAGAAAAATACCAATGAATAGTTGTAGAGTTCCCACTAAACAAATTTTACTATATCAAAACAGACTAACAGATGTCAGTAAGTAGGCCTACATATTCAATTTCGTAATGTAAGTACACTATTCACTGGAAGAAAACGAAAATCTACTTTATTACACAAAGCTAGAGAATGACGTTGATAAGTTATCAATAAAGTCAAGCTATGCTCTCAACAAAAGGATTAAGATATTACCCAACTGATGCTACAAGAGTTCAGAAGAATCCAGTTGGTCTATAAAGTTTTACATCATGTGCCTGTTTCATTGCGACGCCAACAATCAATGTTTTAATACCAACGATCGTCTACATTACAAAATGTCGTGACAGAATATAATTACGCTTCACGCCAGCTGGGGTTGCCAGGGAGGGAACTACCCCTTGCAATGGCGGCAGTGGACTTGAGGAAAATGTCACGACTATGTGTCTTTTAAATTATATTATATTTATTCTAATTAAATAATAAATATAATATAATTTAAAAGACACATAGTCGTGAATCCACTAAGGGCCGGACTACACGAGCGTATGAAACGCCGCCGACCGTCTGCTTTTTTTGCAGAGCCAATAGCTTTATATGATGTGGACTACATGAGCGTTTTGTCTGCCTGGCGAGGACGCGTAATTCAGGCGTTCGGCAGATCTAACGCATCTGGATGCGTAAAATACGCGGGCAGATCGTCGGCTCGCCGGACTACACGTAGCGGCAACTAGCATTTCTCCTGCGCGTTGGTTGATACATCCCTCCCATCACTTTGGCAAGTCCAATTCTGCACTACTTGTTGTAATTGGAGTAGTTTTTTGATTGTTTTTTGTAACTTCTTGATCAGCATTGTACGTGTTATTAAATTTACGGAAAGTAGCCTAAATAAAAGAAACGTCTTATAACACTTAAAATGGTTTTTTGTGTCTCAATATTTGTATTTGTTTTGCTGAAAAAAAATTCTGAGTACATTCTATGGAAACATTACTTGAAACTGCCCTGCTACTAAACAACTTGATAATGTTGGGTGTGACTACCAACGCCTCTTTGCACGACGTTTATTCTTAACAGCCTACAACAATATATCATACCAGCTACACATCCGACTTGTACAGTATCGTTTCCATATTGGAACGGTCCAAATGCAATGAATACACAAACTATAGTTACCAAACTACATAGTTACAAACTATATAGTTTGTGTATTCATAGCCAAATGTCAGTCACATTGGGCGAGGACAGTCGGTGGCGTTCTATACGCTCGTGTAGTCAATGTTCTCGCGTTCAATACGCTGCTGATTGTCGGCTTCGTGTAGTCCTAGACATTTTTGCGCGTACTATCGGCGGCGTTTCATACGCTCGTGTAGTCCGGCCCTAAGTAGGTTTCTCTTGCGTACCGGTACTCTAATCTAGCTATTGATTATGATTATTCGGTGGAGGAATAAAATTAATTGCTTTCATATGGATTTCTTGAATATCCAATGGGAACTTGGTGTACAAAAATACACAAAAATTTTTACAAGACTGGGGCCGCGGCGTTGTTTTGTAATCCAGCTACCAAGAAGTCACGAATTGTGGATATTATAGGCATGCAGTGTGCATGCAATACTCCCTGGTGTGGATTAACGTCCGCAGTAGTGAGTACTGTACTACGAATATCCGCAGTACTATCCTGATAATTAGGTAAATTCGTTAATACAAAGGCATAAATGTGGTTTGGATTCCACTATAAACTGTAGGCTGTGCTGTAGGTCTCTTAGTTAACATTAGCTGGATGGGCTATTAATTAACCGCTGTGTCTAAGGAATATGTCAATATGTCGGCCTCAAAAGCCTACAAAATCGCGCCATTCAACCTAACCTAACCTCCATTAATACTTGGCTTAAAATACCTTCTTTGTATGGTCGCCATTTCAATGAAAAAGTATTAAAAGTACAACCAGAGCGTGAACAAAGATCACGCACAGATATGGCCTTGGCCTAGACTTTGACCTTGACATAGGCCCTCTGTGCCAATTATATCGTTCATATCCTCATTCCGCTTGTCACGGTCCAATTCCTCTTGCCAAACATTAAAACACAAACCCACTGTTCAGTCAGAAAAGTAATTAATTCAGTGTCCTTTCTTGCGGAAATACTACTCGACGCATTAACCACAAATACCGGATCTAAAGGTTTATCAATACATAATTTTCTTCACAAAGTGTGCCAAGTGATAAGGGAAAATAAGCTGTGTAGTGTATTCCCATACCTAGTTACCTGCACCTTTTAACACCACAATTTGTACGTTTGGACTGCAAAACTTCTTCGAGTTTCATGTTTCGCAAATCTTACTGAATTTTAAACTGAAGAGTATGAATGTTAGCTTAACACACTCCTACTTTGTCGAAACAGCCGACAGCACTCGCATATTGCGAAAATAGAAAGTGGAGCTTGTTAGGAAACCCATACTGCAAATTAAGAGGGGCAACCCAAAGACTGA